AGCTCCAGGTGCTCCGCGCCGCGGCGGGGGTCAGGGCGCAGGACACTGTCGCCGGCGGTGACCCGGGCCGCCGTGACGCTCCGACTGAGCGGCCCGGCCGGCCGCGCCGCCGGCCCGCACCAGCGTGACGTCACGGCGCGTCACACGGCGCCGCGGACTCGCTTCCGGCGTGCTCACGGCCGCCTTGACCGGTCACTTTCTTCAAACAGGCCCCCGTCCCCGACGCCATGGCAGAGAGAAGGCGGAGCGGGTCTGCGTGCGTTCGACGCGCGCCGGTCGGAGAGCGAGACACCGGCCGGACTGACGTGATCCATGTCTTTGACGAAGAGGCGAAGTGACGCCGGAGTAGTCAGGGCTGGCGTACACTGTATCGTGTAGTGCTGGCAGGCAGTAGGTCCAAAACGTGCGACAAACAATCCCAAGATCGTACATTTCTTAGTCACTTTCTGCAGTGCTGAGGTAAGCAGTACAAAACGAAACACAAGGCCGTTCGAAAGTAACACTTCCTGACCAAGACGCACTTATGATCGAGACTAACTCCACTCCCAGTCTTGTCTAACAACAAAGCGAACAACCGGATTGCGACCTTGAAAGCCTGCATTGATGGTGACCGGCAGGTCCGGCATGACACAGGTGAAACGGAGTACATGAAATGTGAAATGGTATTTATCGCATCGCACATGGATCTGATCTATCCCCCGCGAATCGGTATCAGGGCTGGACTTTACATAGATGAATGCATGGGAAGATCAACGTCGGGAAGTATTAACGGCCCCTACTCCTAGGCTGGTAAGCTTCTGCGTCTTTTCTTATCATGATGGAGATAGTATGACTGTACGATGGGACAGATGGTTTCAGTTTGTCAAACTGCCATTCGCCTTGATTTTACAGCCGACTTGTGCGCGAATCAACACAGCCCAGGTGCATGCTGTACCCGCAAGCTCATAAAAATGTCTAGCGTCCCGTCTCAACTTTTCCGTTAAATCCCTCCATCAAATAAGGCATGAGATTTCGGCACTTTTAACGGCTTACGGTATAGATGATATAGAGATATTCATCAAGGGACGACTTCCAAAGCAGTGCGTACAAGATGATTTGGGATGCCAAATAATGTCTCCTACCACTACCTGTAACGGGGGTTTCACCATTGGGCGCCAAAAGCGATCCACGGAGTGACAAGAAATCAAACGAGCTGGACTTTGGCTCCCCAGATGGCAATATTGGCACGACAATTTACGCTTTTTGGAAATGTAGGCAGGGTTTTTTTCCGAAGTGATATGTATGGATTTGGTGAGACACATATACGGAATTGTTGTCATGTCGATTAATTTGAAATCTAGGCACCACTGTGGTCTGCAAACTGCTTCGAAAAAAGAATCCCATCCCCATAAATCTGGTGGATGTGGCGCTTTAAGCGCCGTAGATGGACATCGTCCGTAAAAGGAAAACCGGCACAATGGTGTATGTCACACAAGCCAGAGTCCACCTACTGGACTGATCTCAAACGAACTGCTCCACAAAATTAACGCGTTAGCCCCGCCGCCAGTCGCGACGACTTCGAACATGGAGCAGCTCAAATCAGTGAAAAACCTCGCCCGGTTTCAGTTTAGGCCGGTCCGGCCACGCCGCGCTCGCCCAGACCCCCCAGCCGGCGTAGGGCCTTCTGCCCATAGGTACGCCGCAGCACGGCCGTCTGTATTTGAAGAGGGTGGCGGTGCGGGAGCGGGCTCTGGAATTGGTCCGACCTGGGGCAGTTTGCGTCAGCCGGCGCCTCGCTACCGCCGAGCAGCCCACACTCTACTCTGCCATGTGTCGCCTGTCGCCAGGGTGGACCTAATCGAGACGGACGCCTGCAGCCGGCCGGGGTCACACAGGGGCGGACGGAAGGTCAGGGGTCGGAGGTCGCGACTGGAAGGCGTCGAGACAGACCGGAGATGTCTGATCAGGCTGGGCCAGCTCGGCAGACTCGACCGGGATGACGTGGACCAGTTTGATATAAGGGCGACCAAACTGGGATGCGGCATACCAGACCGAGCCACGGCAGAGCGGACCGGGGCGACAGACCGGACTGAGACGCTATGCCGGACTCGGACGTACTGGATCAGACCGGACACGGCAGGCCAGACCGGGGCGACAGACCGGACTGAGACGTCATACTGGACTCGGATGCGTCGGATCAGACCGGACACGGCAGGCCAGACCGGGGCGACAGACCGGACTGAGACGTCATACTGGACTCGGACGTGTCGGATCAGACCGGACACGGCAGAACAGACCGGCGCGACAGACCGGACTGAGACGTCATACCGTACTCGGACGTGTCGGATCAGACCGGACACGGCAAACCAGACCGGGGCGACAGACCGGACTGAGACGTCATACTGGACTCGGATGTGTCGGATCAGGCCGGACACGGCAGAGCAGACCGGCGCGACAGACCGGACTGAGACGTCATACCGGACTCGGACGTGTCGGATCAGACCGGACACGGAAGACCAGACCGGGGCGACAGACCGGACTGAGACGTCATACTGGACTCGGATGTGTCGGATCAGACCAGACACGGCAGAGCAGACCGGCGCGACAGACCGGACTGAGACGTCATACCGGACTCGGACGTGTCGGATCAGACCGGACACGGCAGACCAGACCGGGGCGACAGACCGGACTGAGACGTCATACTGGACTCGGATGTGTCGGATCAGACCAGACACGGCAGAGCAGACCGGCGCGACAGACCGGACTGAGACGTTATACCGGACTCGGACGTGTCGGATCAGACCGGACACGGCAGACCAGACCGGGGCGACAGACCGGACTGAGACGTTATACCGGACTCGGACGCGTCGGATCAGACCGGACACGGCAGGCCAGACCGGGCAACAGACCGGACTGAGACGTCGTACCGGACCCGAACGTGCTGGATCAGACCGGACACGGCAGACCCGGCTACGTTATGGCACGCCACGGTGTCGGCTGGTGACACGGCAACCAACGGACAGAACCGGAACTGCTGGAGCTTCATCGACCAGTCTCGTAGCGAGCGAACACGTTGGCTGACCGACCAGGAATGTCGCTTAAAAGGAACTGACGTATTGACGGAACTTTCGGAGCTCTCCACTTCTTCCAGAGGCTTCCAAGTACGTGTGGCCCGGCTGCGGCAGAAAGAGGCCCTGTAACGGTGGCGAGGGCGTAAACATGCTTTCATCGAAGGCTGCCAAGAGCCCAAACAGATGCCCCTGGATTTGGCAAGCATGCGAGGATTATTGAAACATATCAGAGCATTTTGAACGTGGAAGCAGTTTAAAGGGAGTGTTCCATATTTATATACGGTTATGAACTTAGATAGCCATCTTGACCTTTCGGTGCTGTTCACAATCCTCCCCTTATTAAGACCTAAGCCCCTCTAGTTTCTGAGCTACACGCCCGCGAAAATAAGGAAAGGTTTATCAAGCAGGGTATTTCAAAGTCATCTTCACATTCACGTCATGATAACGTCATTCAAATCTGGCCATTCTATAAGCCATGCGGCGATCAAGGCCAAGAGAAATCTAATTGCCGAGACGTTCATATCTGGCGTTCGTGAGCGCGGTTTTCAGATAAAACGGCTGTGAATTGGCTATCAATCAGTATTGTGTACGGTACGGTGACATGATCAAGCCATGACGCATTGAGGAGCATATTTACTAAACAGAGAATCGGGTGGTCCAAAACAGTCTTCTCCACTAAAAAGTATACCAAAAGTTGTAAGTGAGCTTGTTGCACCGTATCCCATGCGTGTTTCAATATCTTCAAATATAAAACGTTCCCTCCATACAAAGCGGAAAATGAAGACGACAGTGCATGAGAAAAGATTCGAGTTAATTTGAACTCTAATTTTTGTGGTGAAACAGTTCCAGTGTGGTTTCTTCGCCAGTATCTGCGGCTAATTATATGCCAATATGCCTAGAAGACCGATATATCTAGATGACTAGATGATTGGTCCCAATGCCAGAAACAGCCCTGCTTTCACATAGTTATGAGAGATAGTGGACTATATTACGGTCGTTTTTGTATGTTTTGCCGTATAAGGTGGTGTGTGGATACAACACACACACACACAAAGGTATATATATATATATATATATATATATATATATATATATATATATATATATATATATATATGGATGGATAGATAGGTGCATGATTGGTCCATGGTCCCCTCTCATCAGCATCGTAACGCACCTTGGCCATCAGCTCGGGACAATTTTTATATTATATCACCTCCCGAAAAAATAATGTTTCACGATTGTTACAAAGGACCGGGAGGCAACAATCTTCCGGCGCACCCGGAATGATGGCACCAGTGGGATATACTTGCGCCGCAAAAGTGTTGCGTCTTCTGCATAACCTCCACATTTAGTATTATGCAGGGCTCCCTCATTTAACACCAAATGGCCCTTGACCGGCCGGCTCACCCAGCTAATTTGATTTACTTACCAAAAAAGCCAGCAAGTTTGCATCTCCGCAGGCGTGCGCCTTAAGCATTCACATAATCAGTACATTCAACGCATTATTTATTGACAGCAAGCATGCCCAACATGACTGCGACTTCAGCTTCCTATTTCTTGATAGCACTTTCAGAGTACTTCCCGCCGCGCTCAAAACAAATCTGCAGTTAAGAACCTATCACAGCATGAAGAAGCAAATATGGTCGTTACGTCACCCAAAATACTCGTCAACGGGGTCCCACCAGGGGTCCGACCCACTTTGGATCAGAGTTCGGCACCCACCAGACACCGCGCGCTCACACATCGTGGCACAACTGCGGCGCACGCGCGCCGGCGCCCCGGACGTGCCCTGTTCGGACTCGGGCTCACAATGACGATACCGACACGCTGGCGCCGTACGGACGTCAGCAGCGGTCACGCGTTCGTCTGTGCCGGCGGCGTTTCCCGGCGCGGCGGCGGCGGCGGATCGAGCGCCGGCCCGCTGCCGGCGCCGCTCGCCGGGTCGCCTCTGAGCGCGCGCGCGCGTCCGCCGCGGACGCAGCCGCGCCTGCAGCCGGTCACGGCTCCGAGTCCTGTAGGAGCGACGCCGAGGTGGGGCTGGCCTCCGCCAGGACACCTGGCGGCCGGACATGGATTCGGTGTCATCAGCAGACCGCCGACAGCCGGCTGAGGTCACCAGGTCAGCGGCAGATCGGTCGCACGTGAAAATACTCCATCACTGACACCCGTCTTGGTGAGCATCCACCACCAAAATTCGCCAATGACGACGGGGAATAACACGGACCGGCTTACGGACATGGCGTTACGCCTGCACCGCAGCTGACGACCGCACACAGCCAGCCAGCCCGGCGGCCAGCAGCGGAGTGCGGGCTGTGGAGGGCGCGTCTCGGCATAGGGGAGCTCCGTACCTGTGCAGCAGCTGCGCCGCAGAGTCTGGATGTTCTCCAGCTGGGAGCGTAGCTCCGACAGAGAGCGGATGGCCTTCGTTAAGCCCTCGTTCTGCCAACACGACGAACGAAGTAAGAGGGCAAGTGCTCGGTCAGCAGCACAGGTCAGGAGACTGGCAGCAGCCCAGGCAACAACGCAGCAAAGGAAACAGGATCACCATATCACGCGGGGAGAACAACAAACACAGGTACTTAACATCACAGGACAGACGGCTGCCTCCTATCGACACAGAACTAAGGACCATTTATCAACATGGCAATGAGCACTACCTAACCGCGAACCATAGATCAACATAGGTGGATACAAAACAGAACCACTCGTCAACAAGCAAAACAAAACGCTGCGCTCCCGATGTGGCATTTCACGGTCCACACTCACCGTTTTCCGGTGTGGCTTATACCCAGCTGCCTTCTGGAAGCACAGCTCTATCTCGCTGACCTCAGAGATCAGGGCGGCCATCCGACTGAGCAGCGACTTGACGGCGCTGGAAGGAGACGCACAGCTCTTCTCACGGCACGCGCGATGACGGAGACGCAGTCTGGCCTAGCCAGGCCGGCGTCCATTAATACTCGGGACGGGCGAGATGCGAGTGTTGGCAAGATTCTGAGTAAATCACAAAGGACTGATAACTGTACAGTTATCCTAGCAGTCATATGGATGTTGTACTGAAACCATTTAAGACGAGACAGCAGCGCCGTGCTGCAGAGCCAGTTGGAGCGGTTACTGATCAGGACACGGGCCAACGCTGGCCGGCGGGCAGGGCAGCAGACCCTGCTGGCGCGGTTGCCGATGAGGACACTGACCACCGCTGCCCGGCGTACAGGACAGCAGACCTAGTTGGAGCAGTTACTGATCAGGACACGGGCCACCGCTACCCGGCGCGCAGGGCAGCAGACCCAGCTGGCGCAGTTACTGATCAGGACACGGGCCACCGCTGGCCGGCGGGCAGAGCTCACCCGTGCTGCTCGTACGGCAGGTCCAGGCCGGTGGTGAACTTGTCCTCCAGCAGCCGCCAGCCGAGCAGCTCGGAGTGTTCGCCGATCCGGGCCAGCTGGCCGCCCAGCTGGTCAATCTCGCTCACCAGGTCACCTGGAGCGTGAGCGGCGATCATGCGAGCGGGTCCGAGCGAAGCCCACCAGGTCCACGGCTAGACCGGAGGGGTCACGTGACAGACGAGCAGGGCAGGTCAGCGTCGACTGCAGCCCAGGTCACGCGGGGCCGTACCAGGCAGACTCTTACCAGACGGTTCACCGCACGCGGAGCACACACATGCAGGGGTCTGACCAGCCAAGTGAGGAGCATGACAGAGCTGGACAGAATATTTCAGTGTCAAGTTCATGGCTCTCCATGACCACCCACGGTACCTTACGTTCGTCATATGGACGCTGCTGTCAGCAAATGATCTGGTTCACGGTGGTCTCAGGCATATTGAAGGCAGTCAGCACTCTAGAATTCACGACATCAAGACAGCGGAAGCCTTTAAATTGTAAAGCCACCAAGTGACTGGCATCATATGCTCCCCAACTGCATCTGCCACCATTTGTTACATTCATTACAAGTGTTAGTCCATCCCACCCGACATGTCTCACTGAGGAGAGTGGCTCCTGGCAGCTGCTGTTCGGAGTCGCCGAGCATGCTGGAGTCCATCAGCAGGGTGGCCTCCCGCAGCCGGCCGCGCGTCTCCGAGAGCGCCGCCAGGTCATCCAGCTGTGAACCAACAGGCATCATATCACATGCCACCTGAGGATGCCAGCACACAAGCTGTTCAGGACAAAAGCCACCTGCCAGGTTATATAAAATAGGATCATGAACAGATAGAGTTTTGGCACTGCAGGAAGTCATTACATTTCATTGCAACTCACTTGCAAAAAAATGCCTTGTAGAGGTCCAGGTGCAAATGTTAGAGACATGCTCATTCAGGTTACCAGTGCATAACACACAGCAAGATGTCATACTACCAAAACCTGGTGCTGCTTGTGTTTGTTTTGCACTGTCAGAGATTACTACAGTGAGCTTTGGGGTAATCCATGAATTATGTTCTGCACAGAAGGCAATGGGTTTGTGGAGCATAACCAAAGAGGCAAAGGGGGGAGGGGTAGGGCAGCATGCCATTATGCCCAGGTGTGGTTGTAGATTATGCTGATATAATTCACAACGAGTGGTGTAATCAGGAAAAAAGGTGGCTTTTCAACAGCACAACCTAAGTGTAACCAAATACAGAGGGAGAAAGGTTGAAAATAAAAATGCTTAATGCAATTAATGGACAACTTCTTCCACTGAAATCACTTCAATTATCCTGCAATCCTCTGCATAATTTTTGAAAACACCTAAATAGTGCAAGACAATGTCACACTAGGCTGCAATAATATCTAGCAATATGTTCATACCAGTTGATCCTGATATGGGGCCTTGCTGCCTTTACTGGTAGTGTCCAACAAGCTCTCCAGTTGTGAATCAAGCTTTGATGAGTCATCTCCTGAGCTGACTGTAGACATCAAGCTGCTGCCATCTTGACACTTCAAAAGTAAGTATTTGATGCTATCAATTTGCTTGTTTCTTCTTATCACATCCATGTGCTTTCAAATATTTTGACTGACAAGCAAGCTCTGATCACACCTGAAAGAAGATTGTCAGTGCTAAAATGGGTATCTCAGAAGTATATACTGCTGTGCTTGATAATGTGATAGGATCTGGAGGGCACATAAGGCAGAAGCTCATGTTCATGGCAGAATGTGCTTGACAGAATTAAGATATCTCCACTTTGGGGTGCAAGGTATATGAGAAGTGACAGGAAGGCATGCAATCCCCACATCACTGGCATATTGCACACATACACTACTGAGTTTTCAAAAAGTTAGGTATACCTAGTAATTCTGAAGCCCTTTCCTACAACCACAGAGTTCATATAAGTATATTTTATGACCAACAAACTCTTCCAACTCCACATAGTTCGGGCTTAGAAGTCTTTTGAGATGCAAGTATGTGTATTTCTTTTCACTCAGAGCAAACCTCTACTGCTCACCATCATGCATCCATACAAAATTACAATTCACAACAGGCTTCAAATGACAAAAATACTCATTTGTTTTAAATTGATATAAGCCGACTACTGTGACAAGTTGCATATTGGGTTTTGGGCTCACAGTCTGCAGTGGCCACTTTGTGCCCTCATTGCAAAAACACATACTGGGGGTTTGTTTCACTTGATGGCCTGCCATGCCTTTTGTGCTTGCAAATGACAAACAGAGTGCAGGTACAAACAGCATTAGTTACCCAGTAACTATCAGGCCTAATTCATCAAACCAGCCACGCAACGGTCTCCTGACACTGTTGAAGAGTTTGAACATCAATAAATCGGCCATCTCAGGATTTCATTTCTCAAGCAGGCGCTTGGACCTCGGCCACCTTGCTTTCTTAAATAATTTGTTTCACTCTACTTGTTTTACCCCCGCCCACACACGGCTCGCCCCCCACCGCTACACCTTATAACACGACAGCCCGTCCATCTACGGCCCCGCTGTAGCATACAACACTCAAGCAGTGCGCGCCTGGCAAAACAACGAACAGACGGCGCAAAAATTGCGCCACACTCGTATCAAGAAGATGTCTGGATGTTTGTTGCACATTTATTCTTAGAGTGACGTCACTGATATCAAGGACTTCATTGCGCGTTAGCACTTCAAGCAAAAATGTACCGAGGTACTGGAAGCATGGTGTTATCCTGCGGCCTGCGGGACAGTCAAAACATCAGAAATCTTATTGACAGTACTTATAATGCTGTATACTTCGATTCCAATATGATGTACCCGAAAGGCCAAGGCCCGATACAAGGGAGCCAAGGTGGAGAGCTCTGCATTGGATGCTATGTGTGTGAGTGTCAATTCTTATATCCACTTTCAGTGTCAGAACACCAAAGCAACGCAGGACGCCCTGACATTCTGGCAACACGGGAGGCTCCCTGGCACTCAGGGTACGGTCCATGTCCCTGTTCAGTAAATATTCCACTGGTCAATGCAGGCCTCCTTGCGATCACAAACATCCCCGCTAGGCACTGTGGGTCCTGACCAACACAGCGGGTTCTTCAGTGACTCAGAGGCTCGACCAATGTAAATTACGGACCCTGGCCCCTGCTCCCGCTTGAAAAAGCGCCCCCCCCCCCCCCGGCCCAGACCGCCACGGAACCTCGCCTGTTCAGCACCGGTTGTGTCTAACCGACACAGAGGCCCTCATCACCTCATGAGACCCCAACTGAAAATTTCCCTGCTTGTGAAATGTGTCCAAAGGCTCAGACCGATACTGAGCCGACTGTTCGGTGCAGATGGTTCCTAACCGGCACAGAGGGCCTCACTGACTTATAAGGGGCCTCCTGATCCGCGCAATGGATCCTCTGACTGACATTTGAAGTTGGGCCCCTGCGTACGACCTCCGACTGGCTCTTCAGAGCCTTCTGGCCTCAAATCGGGCCTTCGACCGTGTGTCCTGAGGAGCCGAAAGGCCCCTCGAGATCTAAAGGGGACGTGCTCCCTGTGTCACTCCTCCACCTGCGTCGCTGCACCTAGCCCCAACAACTTATCATCGCTGCAAAGGCAGTCCGATGTCCAGGCCGCCTATCTCTGCAACAGCTTTTGCGTAAGCGCTTTCGATTTTCACGCCGATTTCAAAGCAATGGTTGGCCATATAAGCTTGCAAAGCCCACCATGATTTCTGGCGTTAAATTTTACGCGCTTGGCTCGGTGGCCATTTGCACCTGCCGCTAACAGTTTGTTCATCATCGATGTGAAGCGTATCGGCCACCCTGTTTCGTGTAATTCTCGTGTGTACGTCTTCCCTTCTCGTGCCACTGCATTTCAATGGTTTGCGTCATAAGCTTGCAAAACACCTTATCATACTCGCCATCGAATTCTACAGAAACTGCTTGCTCATGTATGTGCCTCCCGCTGACAGCTTGTTCGTCATAGACACAAAGATTTCCGTTGTTTCGCAAGGTCAGACCTTACGGCTATCGGCCACGTCGAAAGTCCCAGTGCCGTCATCTGTTTTGCACGGGGCAAAACCGACCTATTGCAAAACCCGTGCACACCACTCTCCCGGCCTTGGAGCGATGACAGCTGCATTGCAGTGCTGGAGTTCCTATTGGTAGTTTCTATTGGTGGGCACTGCATGCGTTAATTCAGGACATCATATGGATATATATATATATATATATATATATATATATATATATATGTATGCATTGGGTATTGCCGGGGAATACAGCACCAAGAACGTGCTGAATTTTGACAGCATTGAGTGTTTTTAGTTGCCACACAGACATTTTATCTTGTTATCGGTAGTGCCCTGCAATTGTAGTTTTAATGCATTTGAATGACATGGTTAGCACTCAGCGTAGAAGAGTTATCAGTGATGACCATTTACATAGCCAGTTAACATGCACAATATCACCCACTTTTGGCAACTTTGCAAATCTTAGTGCACATGATTTTTCTGTTCTGCCGTCATACCAGCCAACCATTACATTTCCTTTCATACCATTAAGCACCGAGGACCAGTGTAGCATTGACAAAATCTGGTGTAGATAACTGTGTTTTGCAGTCCTGCCAATCCTGCCAGTGGATGAATCTGATAATTTATTGCTCTTCACTTGGTACCATGACAAATTATCGTGGTGACTGTGGGCTTATATGTATAGTGTCAGACTCCAGGCAGGCCTTTTGCACACCACATGGGGTTCCAGTGAATTGTTTCATCACAGTAGAGGCATAATTGCCAATTGGTCAAAGCATCAGACTCCTTCGTAGGGGTCCCTTGTTGAGTCCCTGTTGTGTCAGAGTCTAGGTGCTAATATGGTCAGTGCCATTCCTGGTTTTCCAATAAATGGGTGTGAGGATGTGTGTCACATTCCTTTTACTAGAAGCTGTCATCACAGCATTTTAATTAGGTACTATAATCATCTTAGTGGGGTTTTTGAGATAGTGTACCAATGGACCCCTTCTTGTCCACCACAAGGCTGTTGGCAGCTGCCAGCTGAAGTATGTCCTTTCATGAACCTACCCTAGGTTTTTAACCTTCTGGCAGGGGCTGGATGAGAGGAGAATCATCATTATAAGCTTGGGTCCTTTGATCTGTCTCATTCTATGAACCACCATAAGGAGCAGTGCATGAAACTTGCAGGAATGTGAGGGCCTGTTGTGCTTATTAAGCAGTCATAGCTAGATGTTTGTATCTCTTTGGAGTTGATTGGGTTCTGCAATGTTTGTGCCTGCCTCACAATATTTGCCCCATATTCCAAAAAATCTGGGAGGCTTCAAAGCTAGGAGGATATCCAAAAATCTCGTCTTCACCCCTCCCCCATAGGTTTGAGAAGACTGGGGGTGCTGAGATGTATCTGTTCCCTTACATGTTCTTGAATTTTCAGGTAATGGGCAAGCATGCAGCTAACATTCAAAGTCACTTTGGTGGCCTTGTTAAACTTTTTAATTCACCAATGTCAAGGTGCTGAAAACTGGAATGTAAATGCAAACATGTGCATGGAAGAGTCATGTGGTGCTCATTTTATGCCTCATTCACCATTAGTCAACTGCTCATTTCTGTAAGTATTTGTCAAACTTTAATAGCACTACCTTCTTCTCATTTGCTGCTGGATTATGGTGCTAGATCACAATCAAGCACCAGGGAACCTCAATAGCATCCATTATGCTTCTGAACCGGATTTTGCAGCTATGTGAAGGAGCAGCCCAATGATCTCATTGAAGTTGGGGCAAGACCTGTTCCATGTCCCTTCCTTACATGCCACATCATGGGGTTAATGGTAAAGTTCTCCAAAGTTTTGGATTAGATGCCTCTTCTCCATCCCCTTAATGTAGCACACTCTATTTGAAGCATGGTCTCAGCAATTGCAAGATGTTATTTTAGTTTCAGTTGTCATTGGACATTCATTGATCATCATTGCTAACTTATTTGCAGGCCACTTGAATTTTTGGAATGTGAAGAGCCTAAAGCACTCCAAGGCAACAACACAGAAGACCAAGAATATGGATGCACTGAGGTATGCAATATGGGGCAACTTCACTATCCCAGCCAGTTTGCTCCAGTACTTTCAGGCATTCCTGTAAACAATCCAAACAGATCTGGTGATAACTGTGTGGATGTGGATTTGTAACCTTCAGAGCTCCTGTAAAATGTGTGACACCTTAATCCCAACATCAGCAAACTGCACAATCACGGCAAACTTGAGCTCTGGGGTCACAGGGTGGCCTGTTTCAGGCTTATTCTGGAATATATTGTTTGTCAAATGCCCCACACTTTTCAATACTTTGCTGCATGTCACATTTAATCTGCCCCAAAGCTCAATCAGTTAGAGTGCTGGTCCTAGAACCCATTTGTGGTAGGGTGAAGATTTGAGTTGTCATGAGTGCTTCTTGCTCTATACTTGAATGATGTATAGCTATAAGCAGTACCCATTCAAAAGGCAAAGTCATTGGGCTGTGTCTAGCATGGCAATGCAATGAGCTTACACCACAATGTTTGCCATAGAAATGCAAGTTTATGTTTGGTTAGTCTGCTAGATATTGAGTTTTAAGGACACATCAACTGCCTTGGTTATATGCACCAATTGCATGCCTGGATGGTGAAGTGAGGGCTCACACAACAAACAATCTGAGGCTTTCCAGTTTAAGCAGAGTCCCATTTTTAGTTTGGTGGTCAGAAGTATGAAGATGTCAAGAAGACTTCAGTGTTCTGCAAAGTCCTGCCGGGGATCGAGTGTTTTGGACCGCGCCGGTTCCTGCGGGGCGGATTCCCCTGCGTGCGGTATGTCGCCGTTCTGGTCTCGGCTCTAGACCTCTCGCTGCCAATGGGCCAAAGGCTAGGCTGGCTGGGCTGTGGCTATGGCTTAATGCTAGGTTGGTTCATTTATATGTTAGTTCATGGCATGCATGTAATGAACCATTGCATATTACCTAGTATATTTATGTCAGTAACTGATTTAGTTCATTGAGACTAACTTTTTTGTCATTCTTTTAAGACAGCTTTGCTTGTATTTACTATTTCTTCATTTATCCATGACCTGGAATGATGTGAAAGGTGCAGTATCGTATCGTTACGCCGTACGGCCCTCTGGCATGACATGATGTGCTGTGGGCTTGTCCCCCCCCCCCCCCCCCCTACATCATTGTGGTCATGTTGGCTTGTGTTGCTCATGACAGTGCTCATAAAGTGACCCGGCACATTTCAGCTATACAAACCGCTACTTCGCCACCACGCTCATCTACAGCGTGCTGCTCGGCTTCCTGGGCGTGGATCGGTTCTGCCTGGGTCAGACGGGCACCGCCGTCGGCAAGCTGCTCACGCTGGGTGAGTCACCGCCGGGCAGTCCCCACTGCTCACCGGAGTTGGCCGCTGGCGCGCCATACTTGGCGGGCTGCGAAGCCTGTCCCCGGTTAGCGCACACAACTGCAGTTTCTTTTTAGTTTGCAATGCTGCGTTGTTGCAACAGCTGGGAATGAGCATTGCAAAATTCATTCAGTAGGGTGTCCAGGATGTAATTATAGATTCACACCACCAAAATTCTGGCTCTCCGACGACCTCCGCACGCAATTCATTGACGCTAATCCGTTGCCCTTTGACCCTGAACCAAGACATCTGACCTTTCTGCCCCATTCATCAAGCCTGAGGCGCTTATATGCTGAGTTGGCCGCCGGCTGGTTCGATACTGATTGACCGATTTTGAACAAGGGAAGGGCAAAAGGCAGTCCACCCCAAGCGTCACCCCATCCCCAATCACATGCCACCTCCCCGCCCCTATCAGGGCGAGAGTTACGCCCAGGAACTAAACTGTTAGGGAAAAACGGTTTGCAAGGCTTCAATGTCAATATCTAATTGCATTTCCTAATTGTTGTATGACTCACACGACATCGGTACTTGGCTTGTACGTCGGTGTCGCAATACGGATGTAGCATTGTCGTTAACTTGTCTCGAAGCTCTGCGCTGATGACCGATGTTGTCCGTCGTCACACCTGTCCCTCGAGCCGATTGATTGCGACCCGCGTGATCACGTGATGAGCGTCGGTCGGAGGGTCATCCTGCAGCCAGGTGACGCCCGCCCCCTGGCGCGCCGTCAGGTGGAGTCGGCATCTGGTGGGTGGTGGACATCATGCTGCTGGTGTCGGGCGGCATGATGCCCGAGGACGGCAGCAACTGGGTGCCCTACACGTGACCCGAGCACCGCCGCGCCGCTGCGTCGCGCTCTCGGCCCGTGCCGTGAACACTAGTCTGCCGGGCGACAGCCAGCTGCGGTGCTGAGCGCGCGCCCGCGCCTGGAGTGACCTGGTGCCGCCGCGCCACGCTCGCGGCCCGTGCCGTAAACACTAGTCCACCGGGCGGCAGCTAGGTGCGGTGCTGAGCGCGCGCGCGCGCCTGGAGCGGCCCGGGGTTGGTGGTTTGCCGGTGTCGGTGCCGGAGCTGGTGCAGGCGCGTACGTGGCGCACGAGGACCGGCGTGCCCCGGCTCCCACCGGTGTGTGCTTTCAGCGATGGTCTGTGATCCGTCGCGACGGTCGTGATCTGAGCCGGAGCTCGTCGATGTCGGTGTGAGCTGCTGTTGGTCGCTCAAGTGCGCGGCCCACCGCGTTGCCGCTGTCGTCCGTCTCTCGCTTGGCGCGGATGAGCCTTTGTGTAGCGCTATGTTCGTAATCATTGGTGTCATGGTTGCACGTTACATCACGTTCTGGCGGTATGGCGTACGGAGCGGGGCCGGCAGAGCCCCGTCCCGCTGGCAAGCGCTGTGTGGTCTGCCTGTCAAGCGACGTCCCGAGGCGCTGTGTGGTCCGTCTGTCAAGCCACGTCTCCCTACGCTGTGTGGTCCGTCTGTCAAGCCCCGTCTCCCGACGCTGTGTGGTCCACCTGTAAAGGCACATCACCTGGCGCTGTGTGGTCCGCCTGTGGAGGCGCATCACCCGGCGCTGTGTGGTCCGCCTGTAAAGGCACATCACCTGGCACTGTGTGGTCCGCCCGTAGAGGCACATCACCCGGCGCTGTGTGGTCCACCTGTCAAGTCACGTCTCCCGGCGCTGTGTGGTCCACCTGTAGAGGCACATCACCTGGCGCTGTGTGTTCCACCTGTCAGCCACGTCTCCCGACGCCGTGTGGTCCACCTGTCAGCCACGTCTCCCGACGCCGTGTGGTCCACCTGTCAAGCCCCGTCTCCCGGCGCTGTGTGGTTCGCCCGTAGAGACACATCACCCGGCGCTGTGTGGTCCACCTGTCAAGCCCCGTCTCCCGGCGCTGTGTGGTTCGCCCGTAGAGACACATCACCCGGCGCTGTGTGGTCCACCTGTCAAGCCCCGTCTCCCGGCGCTGTGTGGTTCGCCCGTAGAGACACATCACCCGGCGCTGTGTGGTCCACCTGTCAAGCCCCGTCTCCCGACGCTGGGTGGTCCACCTGTAGAGGCACATCACCCGGCGCTGTGTGGTCCACCTGTCAGCCACGTCTCCCGATGCTGGGTGGTCCGCTTGTCAAGTCACGTCTCCCGGCGCTGTCGAGCGTCCATCCTGGGCGGGGGCAGGCGCGATGCCGATTCTTAGATGGAGAGACAAGTTTTGATTACTGTGTAGAAAACCAAGTGCATTCATTGTTACCCCTTTCACAGTATTTGGGGACGCGTCTGTTGCCCCCCAGTATTCTCCCAGCCCGACCCTTGGCCCTGGATCCACTGGTTGCCTTTGTTGAGCGCTCATCAGGCAACATGAATGTACGTGCTCCTCGTTAAATGCAGCACTCATGCAGTTATGTATGCGACGACATGGAATGTTTGTCAGTGACAAAGCGATTGCGTGGATGAAGCGCTGATTTGCCTCTATGGGTATGTGCTTATAGAATCGGAAGGATACGCATTAGTACTTATTTTGTAATATAAACGACGGTCTCCAGAAGCTGAGTGTGGGCACCAGTTCCACTACACAGTGGCACCATTGGCCGACACCTGCAGACACCGGAAGATTCGCTTCTCATCGCTCGGTGTATCAGTCGGCTTCGTTTCCACAGGAACCTGTCGAAAGGGCGTAATGGCTCAGTGGTCGGCGCGTCGGACTCCCAAGTGGGAGCCCGGGTTCGGAGCTCCGGCGTGCTTCTGTGTTGTGCCGAGGGGGGTCTCTGCTCCATATGCACTTCGCGTTGGAACGCGATGGTCGGTGGAAAAGATTATCTGCGTTGCGCGTGGGACCCTTGCGTCTCACACCATTGGAGAAGGTCGCACCAGACAGCCTGGTGTCGCTGGGTGGTCAGCTCATCTTAAGGCCTCCTCTTGGTAAACACGCTCGGTTCCGTTTGCAGAGTGTTTCGTGCCCTCCACTCGCCTGCGTCCCAGTTATGGCTTTCATTTGCGTAAAGGCTGTTAAAAGCTGCCGACTGCGTACTGCTACTCCACCGGAATATACTTGGCGGTGTATTATGGGCGCAGTTTTTTCGATGACAAGCCGTGGCGTAACCAAGAGGGGTATTTTAGGCGGAGAACCCGTGGAGGTGTAGGTTAACCGGGGCCGAGCATACGGGGTTCTGGGTAAATAAAACGTAGAAATGTGTCTCAACGCAAGTTGTGATACGATACCGAACGTAAAGACGCCAGCTCAGTAGAAAGAGTAGCTCGTAAGCGACAATGGAAGGGTCCCTATGACCCGATGTGCCCCCCCCCCCCCCCCCCTACTGGACAGATTCCTGGCCACGCCACTGAGAATAATAAACGTTCAATGTACGCCATGTGTGGTATGTGGTGCAATTTACCGCGTAACCATGTAATGTATGTCGTGCAATTTACCATTTAGGTATTTTGAAGCATGGGCGCATCAAGGCCCTCCCCTGGTCGTGTTTTTCGTTCTAGATGGCTCCCGAAGAAAATCGAAAATAAGTGAGAAGCGTGATCACTGCTTTCCGCTCACCGTTGAGGGTAGGTCACATCGCATTTTAGGTAATATGCTATTCCCAGCCTTAAAGCTATCGAGCCTGTGTTCACAGAAGTCAAAGCTAAGGAGAGCAAAATAAGAGATGAGTAATGTTGCAGCACGCGGGTCAATGCGTTTAGAGCGAAAGGTAATACGACTTCTCTGGTTTCATTAAAAATTTACTGGCCGGTTATACCAAACGGGTTTTAGATACGGACTGCTGTTCCTCAGGCGCGGGAGCTACCATCGCTAGCGTTTTTAGTTGTCTAGCTCATTTGCGCCTGAAATGCATGGGTGAAACCGCTTTCTATTTCAAGTTTATGCCAGCCGGTAGTCGTGCCATTTCGGCAGCACAGCAGCAGGCGGTAGGTGCAACAATGTCATGGAATTTCTCATTGGTGAGATGCTGAGTGTCTTAGACAGGGCGCTGACGTCATTGGAGCATTTGTCTCCGGCGCCACCGGCTGCGTCGCCACATCGTAGCGGGAATCTCGCATTTGGCGTAGTGTTTAATGCTTTTGAAGTTTGCTTTAAGAGTTAAGCAAGGGTGCAGCTTGTCTACCAGGTAACTGGTGTGTTTGTCCAGTTCGTCCGTCCCGGTGGCCCAGTTGGTTAGAGCGCCTGCCTTCCGATTCACCCACCCGTGGCGGGGTGGGTTCGAGTCGCTTTAGGCGCTCGCTATTTGTCCTTGACAGGTATGGCCTGCGGCCGGTGGCAGCGGTCGCGCATAAAGGTCAGTTGACGTCAGGGGCAGGACGGATCCGTGCCGAGCATTGCGGCACGTTAAGCTTTCGCCACTAAATTCTGCCGTTGCCTGGAATTGCGCGATCGGATGGTAGGGGTCAGGGCTCACACAACAAGCACTGCTTAGCGTGAGCGCTGATCCCAGAAATCCATACATTCAGAGGGTTCGGATCAAATGTGTAAAAAAGTGTTTCCAAAGGCTTGCAAGTGAGGCATGCCATGCCATTTTTGGCATGCCCGGCGTATGTGATCCCTGCCAACCGGGCCTGGATTCCCACTGACTTTGACTGGCGTCCTGTTGGCTCAGCATAGCTCGCCGGCGGTGATTCATTCACTGCCTGTGGACCTGCTGCGCTGCCGTCGATGTCTGGCGTCTTGGCGACGGGGCTTTGAGCTCCCACGACCGCGCCTGGTGCGCCGGTATTAACGGGGGTTGTCCGGTGTCGGTGAACTCGTTGGAGCAATGTCGGGTGAGATGATGGGTTCAGCTGCCTATTCCCTCGACCGACGCTGAATCCTTGTTAAGGAAGGATGAGATGACCCCGCTCAAAGTATCCACTAAAGCGTGTGAGTTATTTGCTGTCGCTGCCGTCAGCTGCTGGTAGGACGCGTTTCTGTTACATTGGGCGCGGCCGGAGCTGACGGGCCAGCATCGCACGGTTGTAAATCGCACGATGCCACCAGCGCGATTGGTGTGATGCTGTGGCACAACTAGCATCACACCACGTTCGGCGCTGGTGACGTGGTCGTCCTGATGTTTAGTGAACTGCTGCAGTTACCTTTGCGCTCACCTGATGCCTGCGGTGTTTGCAATGCGATCTGTTTGAAATTCCAGAGAGTCTACGCACAGTACTATCGAGGCAGAAGTGAGGAGGCGCGAGCAGCTCGTAGTGAGGCGTGAGCTGTCTTGCATGTCGTTTGTAGCTGTGCTGGGCACGGCGCCGGCATCGCCCCCTGGGGTGCCTGACTTGACGAATGGCCACTGATTAGCCAGGTCTATGGGGATGCCGCAACGTCAGCATGCAGTTGTTTGAGAATGGAATCGTGTTGGGACTGAAGAAGAACGAGACGCAGCGACCTCTATTCGCATTGCTTTAGGCACGTAGCATAGGGAATAGCCTCCGGTCGCCTTATAACGCAGGAACTGCCCCCACGTATGAGGGACCCGCGGGTGTGGTAGCCGCCTTTTCGAGACGCGTGGACCGGACTGTGTGTTTGACCTTTAGCCTTATGCCACCATGGAACACATGAGGTGAAATGTACATGGGGCCTGCTGATGTCGCAGCGGCCGTCTTTGGACGCGTGGTCTGGAATCTTTGTGGAGCTTGCTGAGGTCACAGCAGGACGTCTAGCCCAGACTGTACGGAACCTGGCAGGGCCTCAGTGGCCACCTTGGGACCCACTAAATAGCGAAGTAAGATGATTATTATTATGATGACACAGGCTGGGCGACGGTGGATGACACGTGATGCCACAGAGACCGGCAACGGCAAAGGCGCGAGGACAGTGAGCCGGAATGCGTGAGCCTGACCCACTGTATTGGCACCATCGCTGGCAGATTCCAATTAGTGTGGATGATGCACTTGCAGAATATATCACGCTTTCCAAATCCACACCGATGTCACTTTTTGATAACATCTGCCCACAATGAGGGCATAAAGATGAAAATCCATAGCATCTGTTCACAATGTGGACATAAACAGCTATTCACTCCAAAGCTTACATGCAATAGCTGAGGTGGATGAGACCAACAGGGGAGCAATGGCGCCGTTCGGAAGCAAACGCAACGCGCAGGGCTGCAAGATAACATCTGTCGACAACGGCGGCACAGATATAAAACAAAGAAAAGATGCTCACTCTAACGCTTACATGCAATAGCTGAGGTGGCTGAAACCAACAGGCGAGCAGTGACGCCGTTCGAAAGATTACACAACACGCGAGGCTACGCAGCTCTTGTTGGGGGGAATGCTCCATTGACGTCATGACAACGCCTAGCGGTTGAGGCGTTAAAATCGACGGACGATTCTTCCCTTGAACGACCTTGGGCAGCCGGCTCGAAACAAGCTATTGTTTGTTATTCTTTACAAAGGCACTTTTGGAGGGCGTTGGACGAAAGTTGGTGTTGGCGTAGAGTTGTGTTGAGTGTGTTTGCGCCTGTGTGTTGCGTGTGTGGTGGCCTCAGTTTGGTGCGAAGGCAAGGCATTACATCAAAAAGCTGGTAAGTATGTTTAAGGGCATGCTTATAACTATCTCTTATCATTTTTGTGTTGGCGTAGAGTTGTGTTGAGTGTGTTTGCGCCTGTGTGTTGCGTGTGTGGTGGCCTCAGTTTGGTGCGAAGGCAAGGCATTAAATCAAAAAGCTGGTAAGTATGTTTAAGGGCATGCTTATAACTATCTCTTATCATTTTTGTGATGAGTTTTGTCACTAGATTTGCAGTTGGGCGTTGACAAATGGCGTGGCAAAGCAGCTTCAATTTGGTAAAGTTGTGAAAACTTCCTGTGTCTGATTCTTGCCAGTGCAGGGTTTTGGTGTTTGCAGATTCGGAAAGTATGCAGAGAATTAACATGTGGTGGCATGTTTGCAAATCCTGAAAGTATACAGAGATAAACATGTGGTGGCAATATCCTGATCCACTTATTTGAGAATGTATACAGATTAGAGAGGCTCAAGGAAATTTGCACCTTGTGCCTGGTTTGAAACCCACCATTGTGATGTTGAAAACAGCTCGTTAACCCTAGGAATTAATAAGTGGCTGATATTTTGTAACTTCTAGGCTTTCTGTGTATATTTTTCATAGCACAACTTATTCTATCACTTTAGCTTGTTATGCAAGCTGGCTGAAATGCCACTTGTTGCATAATCATGGTATCACTAAATATATATTTGGCTTCCTCCCAGTGCACACACAAAGTTAATAGGATAAGCCCAGTCACAACAGCAATACATGTGAGCCAGACTACAGACACACTAGTTCATCACCCAGGAACTGTTGTAGATCATTCCCTGGAGTTGTGGCTGATTCTAACCCATATGTGATTCATCACTTAACAAGTTTTGGAGGGGTTTCATGGATGCTGCCAAGCTAAAACTAGAAGCTCAGTATTTTTACAAGATATAGATGTTCTGTGTGTTTCTACAAAGGCACTCAAAAATGGCACACAGAACAGGATGGGCATACTAGGGTTTGTGTGTGTATCATTTGGAGGCAGGAAATGAATATCACTTCCCTCTTCAGCCTCCATTTTTATTGCTCTATTGTTCACCATTTCACTCTGCCTTGACTATGTCTCACATCTTCAACTTTTGTTGTCCACAATCTCCACAGATCCCCTCAGCTCCATTTAAGGGATTGAGGACTTTCATACTTGTAGCACTGATCTTGTATTGCTGATTGCAAGAAAACTTGCCATGCCAAGAGAAAAGGACACAGCACTAGTCTGGATCCCAGGCTATGTGGGACTGGATGGCAGCCAGTTGGCAAACCAGGCTGCCAAGTCTGCCATGCTGTTGACATCAGACAGTACATTACAAATTGCAGTAAATGAGATGTACATAAAAGTGAATGAGTATATGGCTGTGAAATGTCAGGCCAATTTGAGTGATGAGTGCCATTCAAACTAGCTGGAAGCTATTAAACACTGACCATTGGCCTCTGGGCATCATCACTTCCAAAATTATGAAGAGGCAACATTTACATGCCTATGCATTGGCATTATGAACATTACACATATATTTGGACGACACAGTGCTCATGAAGTTCCCTCATGTAGCAAGTACTGCGACGGGCGGTCATGTCTTGTTCGGCCGTCGAAAGCTGGGCGCAAATAACCAAGGCAGTTGGTGCATCCTTAAAACTCAAAGTCATTGAGTATTGAGAAGATGGTTCTATCTTCTAAGTACACAACTGTGTTTGGAGGGAAAGCAGAAGTAGGAACAGAAGTCCTTGGGAGGCCGCAAGTAATGGACATCAGTCGGAAAACATCATGGAATAGAACGGCATCAGGCACTGAAATTCATTGGAAATTTCGGGCTGCATGATATTGACTCGCCATGTTAGCAGCATAAGGCTCAGCAAGTAATGTAATCGAGCGCGGAATGGCCTCAGTAGCCGAGGCGCTCATAGCCCCCAAGCATCATCATGATCAAGACATGGGCAAAGGGCACTGCTGTCTCTATAATGTTATTTCCAGCACCAGCCTGGCATAGCTGACGGACAGCTGTTTCATGTTCCGATGCTGTGGCACCTTGCTCGTGGCCGTCAGATGGGGTAATTTGAGCCATCAAACAGACCCCCGCATCAGTTCATTGTCCGGTTCCCAGCCGTCATGAAGAACTAGCGCCAGGAGACATGAATGTCTCGCGGCGGCTCCGTCAGTATGCCGGGTCCGCCCCTGAGACTGTCCGGTATGGCTGAAGTACCGCTGTAGCAGCTGAGCATGCGCTGGAGACTGGCGTCGCCTGTATGGGCCCTGAGCGTAGTCGGCAGTGACGTGGGGTGAGAGCGTGCCAGGGGATCCGCCACGCCGCGGTATGCCCGCTGTCAGCCAGCGCGTGGCCGCGGTCTGGCGGCGGGTGCTGGCGATCGGGCCTGGCCGCATACAGCTGCCGCCGTTGCGCTGGCGGGTGCTGGTGCTCCCTATTTTGTCTATGCCCCTCCCCCCCCCCCTCCTCCCTCTTCCCACGCTCCCGATCGCAAAGGGACAGACTCCACTCGTAAGCGAACGGGCTTAAAGCCAGTGACTTGTGGCTAGTCCGTGGTAGCTGGCATGTGGGCGTTCCACTGAACAGGCCTCTAGTTCAGACAGCATGCCGCGAAACCATTTCCTGCGCAGAAACGGGGCAAGCCGTTATGTTTCAACCCAGAATATCCAGGGATGGTATTCCGCCGGGTTTTGCGAGTAGTTCGTTTACGTTACACACCCATACATCTGATAAACATCGTCACCGCTGAGCTTGAACGAAGTGTCGTAGTTTGTATTCTGCTCTCATCCGTTTCAAGGTTCTCTCACGATCGGTAACAACATATGGCACGTTATCCATTGACATTCCGTACTTTGTGCGAGCTGAAAGGTTATAAGGGTCATGGGAAAGTCCTCTCACGCATGGTATGCCACACAGCCAATACCCGATGCTGGTACTCATGCAGGGGTGCAGTTTCTAGTCAGTTGGGGAGCGGGTGGGGGCTGAAGCTCCCCGCCATGTTAGACCCTTTGTTATACTATTGATGCATACAATGCTTGAAGCCTCTGCTTCATATATGAGTCATGGTGTAACGACATTTAAAATAGAAAATACATTCAGGGAAGCCGTAGATGCTCTGCGCACATGTTTTGAGCTCCCAAATCGCCCGCATGATATCATATTAAGAGAGAGTTCCACTGAGCGCAGCATCTGAACATCGCCACACGCTGGTCTGCAGGCGTGACCCGTCTCGCGCCAGTCCCCAGCCTGCGTGACCCTCAAGCGCCGCTCACGGCCGGTCCTCAGAGGGCCTGCACGGGCTGCGTGCCGCAGCTGACGCGTTCAAGGCCGATTGGACCGGCATATTGAGTACATTGGTGGCCGGTCGATGCTGAAAGCCAGGTATCGATCGCCGGGTTCGAGCGTGGCTGCCGGCTTGCGAGAGCTGTCCGTCCGGGCGTCGGCAGAGCGGCGCGCCCGCCCGGCCGGCCGCGCCGCGCGCCGCCGCGGCACAGCCAGCCGCCCAGTCGGCCGCTCCGCACCGCCTCAGTCGGCGCTGTTGTTGCGCCCGGGCCACGGGCGGTGGGTCAGGGCCGGTGCGGTGAGGCGGTGACGAGCTCTGGTTGTTGCGCCGTTCGGGCGGCGCGTCCGCTGGGCAGGACGACCGGGCCGAGACGGCGCTCTCAGGTGGGTGGCCCGACCGGGCCGGGGTCGCTTAACTGCCGGAGGCCGGACTGCGGCGCCGTGGCGTCCAGCCTTACGTAGAGACGGCTCGGGGCTGCGGTGTGACGCTTAGTCGGGAATCCGTGGCTGGCCTGGCCGGTGATACTCGCCATTTCATTGCAGCCAGATCAACGTAATGTATTAGACGAGTTGAAGCCTGGACGCCTGAGGCTGACTTCGTCCTGTTAGCCGACGTGGCTTGTTTACGTAACCCTGTTGTTGCACCAACCAATTTCAGTTCGCCGTCAACGCATCTGATGCTTCGCTCGAGAAGGAGAGGGTTGCGGTATGGGGGGTGGGGGTAAACAGGGACCGGTGGCGTGCTGTCCGAAACAAACCGACAAACCCGCCTCTCTTGCCTGTGCCAGCGGTGGCGATTCTCTGGAACGAGAGCGCTTGGAACAAAGGTAGCGGACTGTTCGCATTCTCCGTCAAAATGTGAATTTCATCTTGTTCCGTTTTTTTGCTCCCTCCATGCCGCTCATGTTATTGCTCTGGGGGCGCTTACGGAATGACGCCCATCGCCTGCAGAATATACGAACGTCCTCGCGTGACCAAACAGGCAATAATTCAGGTGGCGAATGCAGCCGTTTTCACAGTGCTGTTGTCAATGTAGCCGGCTTGCAAGCTGGAACGGCTTTCGATCCGGCTTTGCATTTTGCCACGATGGCATGAGGAAGGAGATGGAGCGGATGATCTTTCGTTGCTTCGTTGGATAATGGCTCAGTGTTGTTTGTAATGTATAAGCGACGCACTCACTCAATTTCAAAGTTCATCAGCGACGTCAGTATTCGTGGCGTGTGATTGCAGAAAGACATTGAGATTCGCGTTGTTGCTAGCGTAAACGTGAAGGACGTGATGTTTGCAACGTTATGACGGGTGGACAACGTGTTTGACATTTATGTGGCATGAAGACGTCTGGGATGCGGCGTCTGCGCCGGTGATGTGTCAGTGTGGCCGTGTCAAATTTCCGTCTCAGTGTCGAATCCAGGCGACGAAACCGAGCTACGCACGTCTCGCAGTATCATGTCACGACACTCGTTCTTGCTTTGAGCCTCGCCAGTGCGCCTTCCCTGTGTGCTGGGCGATAATGCCAGTCGATGAGGAAGGTCCGGCTGTGTGTGCCAGTTGAGTCTTACGTCTTCAAAAGCGCTGGACCCGAACAGGGATTTGGTCTAGGCGCCATGAGATCATGATCCGCCGTAAAACCCTGCGAGAGACCTTTTCGCGGCGTGCGATGGTGCAACGCGGCCGCCGTGTTATCAGGTGGCTGTCGCTGTCCGGATAACGGCCGCACTGCTCCAGCCGTTTGCTTGTCGAAGTGGCGTCGTGTGCTCAGGTGTGCGGCCTAAGTGCCTGTTAAGGCCCCAATGGGGAGGGGGTCGCGTGACGTGGGGACACGAGGTTACTATGCTGCTGTCTCCCAGTTGCGTCAACTTCAGCCTTCAACCCGTTGCTGAAACGAAGCCATATCATTCTCAAAACCGCTGCAGTCTGCGATGTTCACCTGATCGCTACGGGGTTTTCCTGCCGAATGCGTGCACCAGGCGCGGTCGGTCCGAGTTTTTGGCGTTTTGGCCGGATTACAGTAGATCGCGATATCGCCCCGAGAGTGCTACTCACAACCGGTCTTAAACTCTGACCGCCTGTCATGGACCGCGCTGGCCGTCCGGGGCAGGGGCCCAACGCACGGAGGGGGGGGGGGGGGGAAGGGACGCGCCATCCGTCGCCGGCGCCCGGCGCGGCCCGGCCGCTCCGCCGGCCGACGGCCGCCAGAAGGCCGGCCTGCACGGCTGGATCTGATTAGGTCGACAGGCAGCGGCGCCCTGGCGCGACGAGAGGGGAGGGGCGCCGCTGCAGGCCCCGAGCGGGAGGCGGGGCTCGGGGCAGAGCTGGGAGTCCGGTGGAGTCTAGCGGAATCCAGCGGAGTCCGGCGCTGTATCGCGCTGCTGCCCACATCCGGTGTGCCGACCGCTTCCGTGTCTGTGTGATGAGCGAGTTTTGGAGCAGTGACTGTTTAGCCGGACGCTGCATTGCAGAGTGTGCCGTTTTTTTCTGTTGGGGCAGGGCAAGAAATGTTGATGATATCGCCTGTATGTAGCTAGACAGGGTTTAGGCTTTGCTTGGCTCTTATGATAGGCTAGAAGGGCTTTTAGATCCTGATGCTAGCGCGGTTGACATAGTTGATTTTTGATTCAGCTCGCGCGATTTGTTCTCGTGTGGCCCGTCGTGCCATAACGAAACTTCCCTGAGCGCAGATGAAAACCTACCTTAAGCAAGAACCTTGGGAAATTAGGATGCGTTGTTGGATAGATTTGCATACTTCTGTATGTTTGTCGCGTGGTTTGTGCAAGACGCCGCGAAAACCCAAGGCTGTTACAAAATTTCATGACCACTGTAGAGCAATGACCTTTACAGCTCGCCATGGTCATAAGAGAGGATGTTATGCCACGCATTCCAGCTGTGTTTGCAAACGCACTCTGGCTTTCTGAGGGTGATCCAAAGGAACAACGCGAGTCATAGGGCCTACTTAGGAGGAGAATATCTAAATAATTTGCCCAGCAACGCGCTATTCGATTTTTCTTTCCTCTCCGAGTGTTGAGTTGCATTTACTGATTATAAGGGGTTGAGCGGGCACATTTTTGGCCGTTTTAACGCCCTGGATAGCACCAAGCCTCATATGCGGTAAAATCTCCGCACGACCCCGAAAGAGCGAAGACTAAGCCCCAATCATCGTCGCAGAAATTGGTGCTGTTGGCGCGACGGCATCCTGGCTGCTCAGAATTCTGGGAGCGAAAATTATCATTTGGTCTGGTAAAGTATCGCCTTTGGGGCTCTACAAATATTCTGAGATGAAATTCGAAATACTGAGACGGAACGCACTGCATGTGTGTCAGAGCATCAGCACAAGTCAATTGCTATCGGTGGTGCTGGAGGCAGTTAGCTCCTCAGTCATTGGATATGTGTATATATATATATATATATATATATATATATATATATATATATATATATATATATATATGCATGTATATGTATGTACGTCAGGTGTAAAGTATATATGAAGTATTCACACCAATGATAATTTATTTTTCACCCCTTTAATTATTGGTTTGTGTTTCTTTTCATTACTTTCAACCGGCGTGCTTCATTTGTGACTTTCTTCCACGTCGTGTGATGTGGGTCAGCTGGAACAGTGCATGCGAAGAGCACACCTCCGAAATCATGAGGAGCCGGCATTTCCAGGTGGCGTTTCGGCCCGCCCGCGGGCGACGTCCAGCTTGGAGCCGGCATCGGGGACGTTCCCCGCAGCTGTGGGGCTCCCACCGCGTCCGCGGGCCGCGGGGCCGCCATCAGCGGTGCCCATAACGGCCATTGTGGCGCCGTTCGTGTTGTTACCTCGCCGGCCAAGGCCGGGCCGACCCGGTCACAACGTGGTGAGGCGCCGAGGCCGCCGAAGCGCAGTCGCGGGCATTGCGCTGGGCAGGGCTCCGGGGACCATGCATGACCAATGCATGGGAGATGATGCATTGTGCTGTGTGTGGCGCCGCTGGGCGACCTCAGGTGCGGACCACCGGTGGAATGACTCCCTGTGGTGATGTACGCAGACCTAGCCGAGTGTAACTCTGTCAGTGGACCTGCGGTGATGTACGCAGGTCTAGTCGGGTGGTAGTTCTGTGGGCGGACTTGCGGTGATGTACGCAGGCCTACTCGGGTGTAATTCTGTGGGCGGACCTGTGGTGATGTACGCAGGCATAGTCGGGTGTAGATCTGTGGGCGGACCTGTGGTGATGTACGCAGGTCCAGTCGGGTGTAGTTCTGTGGGCGGACCTGCGGTGATGTACGCAGGTCTAGTCGGGTGTAGTTCTGTGGGCGGACCTGCGGTGATGTACGCAGGTCTAGTCGGGTGTAGTTCTGTGGGCGGACCTGTGGTGATGTACGCAGGCCTAGTCGGGTGTAGCTCTGTGGGCGGACCTGTGGGGATGTGCGCAGGCCTAGTCGGGTGTAGCTCTGTGGGAAGGCCTGCGGTGATGTACGCAGGCCTAGCCGAGTGTAGTTCTGTCGGCCGGCCTGCGGTGATGCGTGGAGGCTTAGTCAAGCTTAGTTCTGCAGGGCGGACCCGCGGTTCTGGGACCTATCTTACGTCCCAAGGCTCCTACAAACTTGTGCAGCGATGGTGGCGCGGTGCGGACGGCGGGTCCCAAACGACCCATTTCAAATGTCATTTGGTAATAACCCTCGAAATGGGTGGCCGGGCGCTGTGACGGATGAGTCGTGTGTCGCTTGTGACAGACTAGGCCTGACTGGTGGTTTGGTCCGTCGCAGAAGTTCACACACCGCCAGCATGGGGAATATGATGGCCAAGGCGATGGAGGAGAACTTTGAGAAGAACAAGAAGTTCATGGTAGAAATGCAGGCAGCACAGGTGAGTGTTGGGCCCTGATGAAGTGTGTGGTGTGCTCCATGTTGCCGTTGGATAAGCTTGACCGAAAGTTTGTAATGGTGAAGCTTCGTGCGACGGGCACATCGGGATCAAGGAGACTCAATGTGCGCATTCATAGGTGGCAGGATAGAAACCCTGATCACGTCCACCACATGTAACCGACAAACTGTGTCTAACCGGCCTCGAATGGGGTGGCCGATCTCGGACAGTCCAGTCCACGCGTCACGAAGACCCGACATTGTCAGCATCTCAGGCCACACAGCCACGCGCCGTATGGGTGTTCTACCCCCGCTGGGGTGGGGAGGGCGGCTCTGCAGCTCGTCTAGCCTGTTACAGCCCCGTGTCGCGGCCACCCCGGGTCCGAGAGTGTAGCAGCGCGCAGGCCTGGGTGGCCTGACGGATGACTGACCTTGTTCCAGCTGGAGCGACAGATCCACATGCAGGACCAGATGCGGCTGCGGATGCACGCGACGCAGGTGGCGCGGGCCCGGGAGATGTTCTTCTGGTGGGCCGCCTTCTACGGCATCAGCCTGGCCGGAGCCATAGCCGCGTGAGTGAACTGGATCGTGCATCTGTCACTGGCCGGAGCCATAGCCGCGTGAGTGGACTGGGTCATGCATCTGTCACTGGCCGGAGCCATAGCCGCGTGAGTGGACTGGGTCATGCATCTGCTGCTGGCCGGAGCCATAGCCGCATGGTGAGTCTCCTCTCCCGTCCTGGTCAAGCTCCAGGGCACGGGACAGGGACGTCGCACGTCAGTAGTTACGTGGGCCCTTTTCCGTCTGACGGTCGTGTGGGTTGAAGTACGGGGCGTAAGTCGTTAGTGTAAACCTGTCATGTCCGGTATTTTCCTTCGGGGGTGTATGATCTTATTAGGCTTGACGACTGCTCGTCGTCTTCCACTGAGCCTTGTGATGTGTTTGATCCTATTGAATGTCATCAACGTTGGCATCTTATTCCAACCCACAGTGTGATGTGCACATTTGTGCTGGTCTTGTATCGTTTGGCATCTGTCGGGATCCCGCCTTTGCCAGATATGCGCGCTGTCCTGCATGTCCGGAGCATAGGTCTTTCCCGTCCTCAGATAATGGACTCCGCTTCCCCGACATAAGATATCTGTCCTTGTCTGTGGTGCGCTGCCTGCATGTCCGGAGCATAGCTTTGTCCCGTGTTCAGATAATGGACTCCGCTCCCCCCACATAAGTTATCTGTTCTTGTTTGTGGAGTGGGAACACGTTCAGGGCCTAGATCACGTGTGTTCTGTCTTTACGCTCAGGTACGGGTTTAATCTTTTTTGCTGCTCGTTTGGTTGAAAGTCAGCAGCGTTGTATTGGAAATCCTAGACAAACGTGCCAGGGTATCTTTCCAGGTTATTCATTTCAGATTATGCTTGGTTGATTTACGCGTTGCAGGCTTTAACGTTCACGTGTGCACGCATTGGGCCATTATGCGATCCCCAATTTAAGAGGGCAAGCTTAAGGTCCACCACCAACACTAAAACCATTCCATCGCCAGTCTTCAAACGCGTAGTCCTCGTGACGTGCATTTCGCACATCAATGCGGTAGACCTGTGCATGCGCTCTCAGCGGCCCGGACCCACGCTGGTGTTGTACGCGTGCCTGTGCGCTGACAGGGTGCGCAAGACGAAGAAGCGGACGCCGCTGCTGCCCTTCTTCCCGCTGACGTTTATCGTGGCCTACCAGGCCGACCTGGCGTACGGCACTAAACTGGGCCGCATCAGAGGTGAGGCGGTCCGGCTGCGGCGGCCGTGGGCGGGCGGGCTGGGGCTGATCGGGTGGGGAGGTGGGCGATACTGACTCACTCTGTTGGTACAGTCGCAGCATGTTGTCTTAATCCAGGCGAGGGTCCGGCGTGACGTTGCCGCTTCTGACGGCGGAGACACGGCCATCCAGCATGGCCGGTGCCGTCGCACTGGCGGGCACTCTGCCGTGAAGCTTGCCACGGGGGACGGAGTCACGCTTGGATGCAAATCGCTCCGAAGTTTATAGCCGAATAACTGAATGTTAGGCCGACGTCTCCGCCCGTGACTCGTGGAGGGGTGTGCGCCAGTTTGTTGTTGTGGTGGGTTCCTGGCAGCCCATTTCGTTTCAATTTACGAGCCAGCGGTTTGCCGGGAATCGACCGACTTCTGCGGCCCCGAGCGGCGGTAATGCCGACTGCTGTGGCGCCGAGCGGTGGTAATGCCGACTTCTGTGGCCCCGAGCGGCGGTAATGCCGACTGCTGTGGCCCCGAGCGGTGGCACTGCCGACCGCTGTGGCCCGGAGCGGCGGTAATACCGACTACTGTGGCCCCGAGCGGCGGTAATGCCGACTACTGTGGCCCCGAGCGGCGGTAATGCGGAGGCCGTGAGCTGATCCACGCCGCTGGTCCCCGACGGTGGCCACAGGTCGGCCCCTGCACCAATACGGTGGTGAACACGACACTGCCAGGCGTCGATGAGTGTCAGGTGAAAGTTGCCGAGGTTCCGTATTGTTATGTAACGTTGCAGGCTGGCTGTTTATTTGGAAGTATTGTGCCATGCCTTTGTGGTCGCCATGGTCGCAGCCATGTTGGGACCTGCTCCAGCACTGCCCCACCGCTTTTTCGTTGCCTGGTGTCGCTCTTGCCATTCGCAGAAGTCGCTACCTTTTTAATTACATTTTTATTTACCAGCGCGCGATCCACAAACATCGGCATGTTTTGCGGAGCTGCGGCGCGGACTCAGGGCCATTTTAGGCCATTGTTCGTAATGGGATATTTTCAAATGCTGAACTTTCTAGTTGTCCGAAGATTTTCTCAAACTCATGAAGGCGGTGTATTTTTACGGAAGGATTGAGGCGAGGTATTGTATTACGGAATGAATAACTGTTCGGACTATCGTCCTTGTCTAGTGGGTAAGTAAAGTGCGAAGTTCCGATCATTTAATTCTTTTTTTTGCAAGTTGACAAAGGTCGGAGAATTAACTGGCCGTTAACTAACGTTGTGTGTGTACGAAAAGACCAGACCAGGATGGTAGTCAACGAGAGCTATTTTATTCACGGTAAATGTGGTATATCGCAGAATGTTTACAGCATGAGGAAACAGCATCATTGGTGTAACCCCAGCGACAGTGAATTGCTTCGGTTTCAGTCGCATCATCTGCGTTGCCGGGAATGAATAGAAAATGATACATTTGGCCAGAAGTAGACAGGCGACCAGAATGATGCGACCGGCAGCTAAATACACCGCCACCACACACCGGTGGCATGTGATCGATGACTGGGCGCTGTCGAAGGTGCGAATGCTGACGTCATAACGTATCGCACCTGGCCATGGATAACCAACAGTCAGCCATGGATCGCTATTTAGCCATACACGTGCCGGCGATACGGCTCGGCTCTCCCGGAGCGTGGCGTGCAGGCCGGGTGTCGGCCCCCAGCCAGCGTGCCGCGTGCGCCAGCCGGTGGTCAGCGGTGTGGGGGGGAGACTGTTACGACACCCGCTGCTGCCCGCTGCCGCTCGAGGCCGCGCGCAGTACTGTGTGTTTTGGCGCCCGCCCGGGCTCGAGTGGGGCCGCTGGCCGGCGCCTGCCGCAGCTGATCTCAGCCACGGTGGCCCACCGGGTTATTCTGGCCGCATCATGTCTCACGTTTGTCCGCCGCCGTGCTTAAGACTGATTGTACGACGTCCACCACTTGTCCGCCGGGCTGACTGTGCTGGTGTGGTGAATGCTCTGAACACTGACCGCTGGCGGTTTAAGCGTTGAAGGAAAATTAATGATATCGTACGATAAATGACATCGTACGGTAAAAAAGCAATAGAGGGCTTCGGACCAGAAGGTCGCGACCGTTCTTGCTTACATCGCATGGAGCCAGGGGACCGCTTTTGGTCTGCGCTTGAGTTAGAACCGTGCCTCTGCATGCTCTCGGCGCGACCGTCTGGGAGGTAATGCGCCGGCGTCCCTATCAAGCCGCCCCGTGACCTGGCGGGGCTGCGCGCTGACCGGCGCCGCCTCGCCGTCCGCCGCAGCCGAGGCCGAGAGCATCATGGGCTGCGAGGAGGAGCTGCTGGAGCAGCCGTGCGGCGTCCCCACCGCCAACGTCATCGACGCCGCCCGTCAGCGCTACCTCGACGAGAAAAGGTACACCACCAAGGTGCACGACATGTACGCGTAGCGCGGCTGCCGGGGCGGCCGTCGCTGGACTGACGCTGCGTCCAGATCTGCCAGTCGCGCTTCGCGAGTTGACTGTGAGCCGCGCTCCGCGGGACAGGCCGGCCGAGGCACGCTTCGCGAGTCGTGTCGTGTGAGTCGTGCCCCGCAAGTGAAGCCGGCGAGTGGCGCGTCGTGGATGGTGTGAAGAGAGTCGTGGTTTACGCGTCCGCTGTTCGGTGACGTGATTGTTGACCCGTGCTCAGCGTTTGCGGTATGTCATGTTCGGTGTGAACGACACGAATGGTGCTCAGCTTTGACCTACAGTAGTCGGCTGAACGTGGACCGTAAGTGTAGTCATGTTTGGTGTGGACATTTAAGCCTTTTGTAGCTGTCCGCCCCATGTGTCACGCTCGCGATGCTGCCCTGAGCTCTGCGTTGTGCCTCATCCAGCACGGCTAGCTTTGAACTTCTGAGGGCGCCAGGCTTTGCGCTGTGTCCTGGGTATCTGGCACCAGGCTGCTTGCAGCGAGTAACGTCTTCCAACGCGGGGATCATCGGCTGTACTGGCCAGTGCCGTTCTGTTGACTCCCGTCTCGGCACTCAGTCTGAGCCGGCGCGCGTTTCGCCATCCGAGCGGGGCCGTATGGCCCGCCTGACCCCGTCTCTGTCCCGCCCCGCCGCCCGCGCGGGGTCTTATGGCCCGCCTGACCTCATCTCTGCCCCGCCCCGCCGCCCGCGCGGGGCCGTATGGCCCGCCTGACCCCGTCTCTGTCCCGCCCCCTCCCCATCTCGGTCGCCGCCCGAGCGGAGCCATATGCACGTCTGACCCCGCCTCTGCCCCGCCCCGTTGCCCGAGCGGGGCCGTATGACCCGCCTGACCCCGTCCCTGCCCCGCCCCGCCGCCCGAGCGGGGCCGTATGACCCGCCTGACCCCGTCTCCGCCCCGCCTCGCCGCTCGGTCGCCACACGAGCGGGGCCGTATGCACGTCTGACCCGTCTCTGCCCCTCCGCCGCCACTCGGCCGCCGCCTCAGATGGCACCTCGCTCCCGGCGCCTGGAGGCAGGCAAGGCGCGGCATGTAAGTGGGACGGCGGGCCGGCTGGTCAGTCGTGAGCGCGCGCCGGCCGCTGTTCGCGCCAGCTATTTCTGGCGGCCCGGGACAAAGATCGAACGGTGTGGTCGGGTCACGGCCGACGTCACCGGCGTCCTTCTCCGATTCACCCGTGTCGCGAGGCCGAGTCCGGTCGCATGGGGCCCGTCTGGTATGTTGGCGGCCGCCACAGGGCCATCCGGGCGGACGTGAGGCAGGTGCTGCCATCTTGCGTCAGCACCGTCCGCTTGTGGTCCGCCTGCGCACGCATGGTCGCTTGCCTGGAGCCGGCTCGCTGTTGTCCCCAGAGTGTTGTTTGGGTGGCGGGGTGCCCCGTCTGCGCGGCACACCGGCCTTGCCTGCCAGGCGGCGCCTTTGGGTGCAGCTGGCGGCGGACGGCGCCCTCCTGGTATCGGTCACCAGACAGGGAGTTACCTTGGTCGGGACCTTACCTCTCGTGAGCGCTTTCTTATCAGTTGAGCTGGGATGCGTGTTGGCTCTGACGGCTCCAGTCTAACCACATCTGGCGAAGAGCCTGGGTTCTGGCTGCGCCAGGTCTGCTGGCTATGTTGACTTTCGATAGATCTGTCTGGTCGTCCCAGGCAAGGACGCTAATTGTAGCGGCGGTGCAATAGGAGTGTGCGCCTGGCGCCAGAGGATCACAGCTGTTACACAGGTGCGTCGATGGCTGGTGACGCCGGAAATCATCTGTAGTGGTGGGGGCGTAATATAAGTGTTTTACTGACGCTGCTCCGTTGCTATGTACCTAATCAAACCCATGATGTAAATGGACTGTAGTCTAGCCTATGGTTGTTGTGGGCGGCGCTTGTTCCTGGAGTTCGCAGTCGTGTTTTGTAGCTTCCAATATATTTATATCGCTCGTTCCGTGGCTGTCGCATCGTGCGCTTTCCTCGAAGCACCGTCGCCCGCTTTCCCCGAAGCACTGTCGCCTGCTGTTGGCGGAGGGGCGCCGAGTGTGTGGCCCCCATGCATGGCCTGTCGGCGCCCGCGTCCCGGCCGGCGCGGCGCCTCGTCTGACGCTTCAGTGTCACAGCCTGCTGTACGGCGCCGGTCTGGCCGCGCGACACTGGCGCCGGTGTCGCACGCGGCCGCGCCGCACTGTCGCCCCACTGAGCCGCCGTCCGTCCGTCCGTCCGACCGTGAGTCCGACTGTAGTGTCGCTTCAGTGGGGCTTTTGTGGGGCGGATAGTTGGCACGCGCATGTCGGTCGTCCCCATGGCGTGGGTGGTCCCACTTTGTTTGTGTGTTGTACAGTTTCGGCGCATTTTTCTTTGGCTGGTTTGTTGGCATTGACGGAAGATGTGCGCGGGTTGGTGTGCGCACGACCGTTCCCGCTCATTTGTGGGAAAAATCCTGCTAACCAGGCACCTCAGCCCAGCTTGTCGTGCTCAGCCTCTGCTTGTATTGATTGCTTTACGTCGATGCATGAGACTTATCCCTGGACGCCATGTCTAACGTGGGCTTGCTGCTGTCCGGTTTCAGGAACAAGCCGAGGATGAGCGTACAGTAGGCGGCGAGACCGCGTGGCGCCGGCCGCTCTGAGGTGCATATCGTCTTCCTGCTGCTGTACAACGGAAGTGAACTACAACACTCCACGAACCAGTCATTATGCAGTGGTACGGAACCATCTCTGTCCCATGAAAGATGTCATGACCATGGAAATGGGAAACTCGAATGAATTTCACGTGTGAATATAATATGTGAAGATTTGCGATGGCTTAGAATTACTGCAGTGTGTCTACACTTTAATATCTTGTGAACCTGAACGGACAGAACTGTTGCCTGTCAGTGCATTAACTCTACAGCTATGCACTGTGCGTGTGTGTGTACCCCATCACAGCTGCTACCCCTGGGGAGGAAGACTGTCATGCTGCTTGACATGGCATGGGCGAGGTTTCACCTCTTCTGTTTGCTGAGAACGCTGCCATTAATGCCAGGAACTGCCTAGGTAGCTGGCATCGCAACTTTAACCTTCGGATCGGTTGGTTGCTAACCTCACCAGCCGTTGCCGTTAATGGGCCGTTGTGTTTGGGTCCGGACCCAGCCTGATGTTACACTTCGTTGTCCATGGCCACGCGGGGTGCATGGCCACTGGTCGGCCTCTTACTGCGTCTGTGTTGGCTGCAGCCCTAACTTCATCGCACTGCACGCGTGGATGAAGGATGGCGTTAAAGGTGGCTGGGCTGGCGTGATAGCGTGCGTGGTGGGGACAACTGTGACAGCAGCACTGAATCGTTAACTCGCGAACAAAAAGCGCTGGCTCCCGCATAATTTTGCGAGTCTCGAGTGTTGAATTAAACCATGCGTCGTTTTTGTGTTGTTGGTTGGACCGTTGTTAAGTATACTTTCGTTATAATGATACATTGCATCTGAATCACATGGTTGTTATCGTATGCGCCCGTATGTTGTGTATGGTGCACTTGACCCTCGCTGTCCGCTTGAGCGTTGGATGTTGGATGTGGATGTCGATCGGCGGATTGTTGGTGGATCGACAAGGCATACAACGGGAGCATGCTGCTGCTGGCGACTCATAGAGTGATACGTTCCTTAATCCATTCTTCAATGCAATGTTTGTATGGCATTGGGGCATTACGACGCCCTCAGCTGCTGAGGATGTATGGTGTCGCCTGCCCCTCACCGTGGCAGGAAGGGCGGACACCGCATCAATGCAATGTTTGCCGATTGTTCTGAAATGCTTGCACGTACGATTGAATGTGGGTCGCCGTAATTTCCGCGCATCCAGCAGGAACTAAAAATGTCAACTGGATGCGCTTGGCTCATGATCACATGGCTCACATTCGCACGACGACTTCGTTTTACCTGTGATACATCGATATTCCCCGATGAGATTAGCTAGCCTCTGTCTGATCCCCAGCACGGTGCTGCGGCTAAGTCACAGTGTAGCATATTTGAACTTTTGCTGATTGTGGTCGCTCATGTTCGGCGCTGGAGGCGCCGTGGGTGTCTGGTGCACCTTCAGCGTCTCGCGTGCGGACCGCCCTCTGCCTCTGTCGTGAGTGGCCGGCCTTTGATGTAACGTGGCCCGCTGCGGCGGTGTCCGGTACAATCCCTCGGTTGCTCGCGATGGTCTGTGGTTGTGAACTGCTGTTTTGTCCGACACCGCGCGCCGCCAGCTACTCTGCATACCGCACGGGTAGCCCCGACTCCCGGCCCGGAGATCCACTGCGTACTTGTCACGTGCCCCGGCCGCAGGCGTGCCCGCGCGTTGTTGTCGCCGGCACTAGCGGCCGTGGGTGGTCTGTGTGTGTCAATCTAGTCCCAGTGTTCAAGTTCCGAACGTCACGGGGGGTCCAACAGTGTTGTTGGTTTCCCGGCTGGCAGATCACGAGCCAAAGGCGCCAGTCTTCCGGCACCGGGCGCTTGCGTGATGTCGCGCATCCGAGGATGATCCGTGTATGGATATTCAGAAACCGTGTTTTTTACATTTTGATGGTGGAATCTTCTCATCAGTATAACGTTGACTCGTGACTGGTCTTTTGGCTCTACGTAGCACAGTGGGTACCATCAAAGTGAGCGTTGTCGAGTTCGGTCGCGATATATTGTTTAGCAGACGCCAGACGTGAGTGATACGTGTCGTGCCGTGCGTCCGCCTGGTGGTTTAGTACGTGTCCGGCCCGGTATGGCGGCGTCACGTTGGAGCATCATTTTAAATACAAATGGATCACGACGCATGGCTCCCACTCGTGGTCACGTCATGGAGACGTGTATCACCGTGCGGGGAGTGACATGCTTTCGCAGTCGCCAGACCTTGATACATCCCGCACCGGTCTAGGGTGATGTTGGAGAGTGCTTTGACAGCTTGCGAGGTGGGGCGCGTCAACTACGCACGGGTGTGGCCGGATGAGGTCTAGTATTACAGGCTGGGTTCGGGGTTCAGGCGCCCAGCGCTGCCACTACATTACAATGAGGGTATCCATCCCAGTTACTTCTTGTTAGCTTTTTGTGTAGTGTCATCGTGCGCAACAGGTAATCTGAGAAAATGGGTGGCGAGCGGAGGCGCGGGAAGTTTTCCAAGTGTGTGGGGGGGGGGGGGGGGAAGGGAATAGCCACTTTGGTTAATCCTGTTCCATTAAAGCCATTGGGGTCGAAAGTCAAATTTTCGAGAAAAAGTGTCGCCCCTAGCCCCGTGGTTCTCGCAGCCTTAGGGGTGAGAGATTTGTGCCAATATCCGTTATCCCCCCCCCCCCAACAAAAAAATGCTCGGCCCCAGTGAAGCAGCGTTGGAGAGACGGCCTGCGCAGTTACCCAACACCCCAACAGCACGTTACCGAAGTTTGCACATCGCTGCACTGAATGATAGCCATCACTGCCATCTCGCGGCCGTGCGGTGGCGCTGCTCTCTGCCATGTGCGCCGGACTCCGCCACATCAGCAATGACGGATCTAAATCACCGAAATTTCTGAAAAAGCTTCTATCATTTGGATCTGGAGAAATCTCACGTCAGGTCCGTCCCATCCCTGCAATGAATTTCCGGGAGTAAAATATGTCCATGCAAGAAGCGCTTACCGATAGCTGTCACTGCTCCAGGTGGCGGCACGGGTTGAAGGCTGAGTGCGGGTGGGGCATGACGTGCTTTATTTATTCGTGTTTGTGATTCATGGGTGCGATGAGAATAGAATACATGGAATACCGGGAGTTGTTTTTATGACACTGACCTCTATCATACAGAACACTTTGCTACCAGCGGACAATGTTCTTGTTCAAAGGCATGTGCGGTCAATGCAAGGGCAGATTGAGAACAACGCCTTGGGGAGAGCATCCCTGGCTTGGAGAGAGGTGCAAGATACGAAATCCTGATTTTGGTAAGACTCGAAGGATTTCACTTGATCTTGTCTCATGGAATGCTATCTACCAAACTGTATAAGTTGAAATTGCTTAGATTGCTTCAAAATCCAGAAATGCGACATTTTTACTCAACTTGGGTCATCTTAGAGACTCGGGCATCAGGCAAAAGTTCCGCCGGTTGGCCGACCTTGAATCCGCCCTGGGTCAAAATTGTCCTTAATTGGCAAAGCTGGTTGGGAAGACTGGGGATTTCCAATATGATCTATTCATATTTCCTTTGCTTTCTTTCCTATCTGTTATCTGGTAGCTACTATCGAGAGATGACTACTGCGTTCTTGGTACGAAAGCGGCGCAATGTTTGTGTCTCGGTTTCTTTTGTCTTTTGTAATTCTGGACAAAAAACGAACGTGATATAGTTTCGGATAATCGTCTCCCTTGCTTGTTGCCGGGCGGTATAAGCCGGGTTCACGTAGGCCGTTGCGTGGCCTTCAGTCGCGTGACTACGGACGTCAAGAGGATTGCAGGACGTTCATTGGCCCACTGGAAACGGGCGCTTCACTGGAAGCGGATCGATACTGAGTTCCGGAACTCAACAAGTGGGTGCTTGAGGTCAGTAGGGACATTTTAACATGCTGAGTGCGTATGTCTGAGGGGCAGAGCTGGTGGTCCTGTGCCTGGCCAAATTCCCTCATCCACCCTCAGCCGTGGTAACACTGATTCAGCATCATTCTATGCCCTAATGGGCGTGGCATACAATGTGCCACAGCCCATCTTGTGAATGAGCTGTGGCATGTCATATACCACAGCCCATTCACAAGATGTTTTATCATCTTTCATCTGAAAACCAAAGGGACCCTAATTTGCTAGGAACCAGGATGATAGTGTAAGCTAGTTGAACAAACATTTTAGTTGGCTCACATCATCAGAATTTTTAATCTCCCCACATTGAACTCTTTTAAAAAGCCCTGCTTGATGTGGTTTGGATGGATGGAAGGGAGGGGGGGGGGGGTGTGAGGGTACATCAAACAGCTTTAGTCTCTCAAAATCATTTGCCAGCTATCAAATGTTCCATACTCACTTTTCTTGTCTAAATTGAACTAAGCCTTCTGTACTGGCACCAGTCTTGAAACATGCTTGGGCTTGTTTGATAAGGATCAGTTTTGTAGGATTGCTACTTCCAAGTTACCCACATCGCATGTGGTGTGCAGTGTCACCTCTAGAGAGTGCCATCTCAGTGCCATCTCAGTCAGGAGACACTGGTGGCCTGTGCCTGGAATTTGGAAGGTCTGAAATGTGATTGCATAGCTTTTTTGTGTTCTGCATATCCTTTTATACTGTGCCCCATTTTTCATTGCTGTATCTGTAGCTTGGGCTAGCCTTGAGTGAGATTAGACAAGTAAGGTGGGTTGGGTTCAGGTTGGCCCAAATGTGATGATCGTTAGGTACTGAGCAGCAACAGCAACCAGGTGCAACAGAAGTTCTCCCATGTTAGGAGGACAGACATTTGGGGATATTCCTTATGCCAATGCACATGGGTATGGCATATAATTTTCAGAAATATGGCAGGCTCAGTCCCTGGCCCCCTCTAGTTGCAATACAGCTGGCATGAGTGGCTGGCAGAACCCATCCTATTTATCTATAGGCATGGTTTTCTGTTGGCAGTATTGCATTAAAGCAAAGCTCAAGTTATTAAGTGATCTTGTTTGGCACAACTGCAAAAGCCAGAATCATTGGCATGGTAATATTCAGAAAAGAGGTCAGTGGACAGATTTACTGCCATCACCAATAGCATACTTGGAAAAATGGTGTGGATGGAAATTTTTCAGTGTTTGCCATTTAGGTGACATGGATGTGATTTTTTCATGCTATTGCATCCTCATATCAAAGTTCATAGTCTGTTGCTCCCTTCCTCTCTTAACATCAGCCAATCAGTATCCAGCTGGACGGGATCAGCCCAGTATCTAGATGCTGGCTGGGCGAAGGGGCTGGGCAGATCAGATATCAAGGTTTGAGGTCAAAGGACACAAATTAGCAGCCAACAATGTGCTGTGCCTGTTTTGAGGCTGGCAGGATCCATAGTTCTTGCAGTGGTGAATGATGTTTACATGCAGCATACTTAACTGCATGAATTTTGAAATACTGGGGTGGAAAGATAAATACTAATGCTAGAGCCACCTCTGTTAGCTTGATTAAAATATGTACTTTTTCTGCCCATGTTGAATAAAAGCAAGCATGGTTAAATTATATTTGCCCCCTCTCCCCCATCCTATCTTATTTTGTCAGAGAATCTGTCTGTTTTGATTCCAGGTCTAGCGATGTTTTCCAAGTCTCTGATGTCACTGAGGAAGCCAGCAGTGCGACTGCGGCAGTGTCTTATTGCTGTGGCTGGTGCAAAGGGTCAACAATGGAAACACACAGAATCTGTAAGCTGCTCTCTCCATTGTCAGTTAATTTGTTGGATCTTGAAAAGGAGTTTGTGCAGTTACCTGCTCAGTACCTGTTCAATGAACCACTTTTTGAAGCATGTGCTTGATAGTCAATAGCCAGTCATTGTGATAAAGTAGAGTTCACCTTTGTGTGTGATGCATTAAAGCATTGTTCTTCAGGATTGTGTGAGGAGGCAACCAAGGTGCATTCATGAAAAAACTAAATTTCACACAAATAATTGCGGGTTTAATGTACTGATGAAGGGAGCAGTCTCAAGGCACTGGTTCCTGATGTTTTCAATGTGTGTTTTTTGCATCTCAACCTAATTTCATTGTGATATTATTTATGGTTGTCATCTGTCTCACTATGTTTCATGCCTGTATTGTTGTTTTTTGCAGTGTATTGGTGTGATGACATTATGACAGCGATAATGTCACCTGCTGCAGCCCGATCCTCACAGTCCTCTGGGCGCTGTTGCAGAGCTTTCCTCGGCAGGAGGAAGTAAGTTCTCCAATCCCTGTGATGTTTTTTATGTGCCGGCCACCGCTGCATGGCTGCTTGGATCGCAATAGTGATTTGCCCTCTTCTGTGCCTGCTGTAGTAGCAGGTGGTGCTGCTAATGCTGACCATTTCGCGGCAAGGCCACATGACTGTCAGTGGTTGGTGGTGCGGCAGACATCGCTGAAACAGTATTTCTGATGGGCTCATTCCAATTAGAAGCCACAGGTCTAGCAGTGCTTGGATCCCTATGTTACAATTGGGTGGAACACAGTTTATACTTAAGTTTAGTTATGGTTGAGTCTTGATTGGAACCATCATGAGCAGCTTAACCATGGCTGAATTGATAGCCAAGTGGTAATCATAACAGGACAGGGAATGCTCGGTTTCCAGACACGTGGTGTCTCACTGCCGATCGGAGGTATGCCTATCCCAGCTACTGCCATCGGATCAAGTGACATCTTTTGTAGGAAGCTATGTCGAGTGACTTGTATGACAGCTTCAGATTTAGAGCCCTTGCATAGCCGAGCTTGTCGCCGTTGTTGGGAGCCAGACATGCAGGATGGACCGACTCCGATAATTTGATAGTTTCTCCTTGGCCTTTCACCAGACAGGATGTCAGAGGGTTTAGCGTATGGTGGAGCGCTGCGACGCGGCCGTTCCGGGTTTGGTTGATCCCCTGGCCAACTGCGAGCTGACCTTTCTGTGCCGGACAAGCCAAACAACGCACCCGGTCGGAGGCTCGTATCGAGCACTGCTGAATTACCAGTACAGCATTTTTCGCGTTCGCCATGCAGGCAGCAAAGGAGAGGCTAAAAACGTCGTCGACCATTCTGAATATTGGGCATGTGGATTGTCCCAAAACTGTCAGATCTTCTCTATTTTTCGACAAACAGGAGGGTATCGTTTCAAAATCTGCAGCGAGGACCAGGGTGGCGTGCCCCAATTTCCGAAGCTGGTCGCAATACGGGTGTTCCTGATTGGTGTAGAATGCGGCGTGTCAGTGCTTCATGAGAATTGCACGTACTTGTCAAGCGCGTCGTACGCCCGTCAAATACAATTCAACGCATGTTTGTGATGATAGTGAAAACATTGTGATAACGACCTAGCATCATCACAGTTTGCGGGTTAGTTATCATTTTGAGTTGATAAGCCGCTTTTGATGAATGCAGCCCACAGTATAACTTGTTGTAACCTCCTATAGGTATCTCATTATTCCTCGAAGGAAGCCGATGACGTTTTTTTTGCCAGGCAAGCGCTGTATTTTACTTGTAGTCTTATAGGTAGATGCTAGACTGTTTCAGGGGGGTGGAGCGGGGCAGGACCAGGGAGGGGCTCCTGCGCGTCCGCCGTCGGCGCAATCTCCTGCATGCGTTTGAGACATGGCTCTCGGTTTTTTGGGCACGCTGAGTGTGCTCGCTAGACATTGTACAGGCTGCACCTGGCACTGGACGGTGGCGGCGACTGGGCGTGTGAGACCGCCAGCGTGGCACTTCTGCCCGCCGCAGCAATACGCGGAGCAGCAGCGGCGCAACCGACGGGCCGGCCATATGTCCGAGCTGGTGCGCGACTTCCTGGCGCCGGCCGATTTCCACCGCGCCCTCGTCGACGTCGGCATCGACTTCTTCTGCGGCGTGCCCGACTCGCTGCTCAAAGGTGCGGTGTGCCCGGGTGTCTGTGCAAAGGTGTAGCCCCACTCCCTGCTCTCGAAGATATGTCCGATGCCGTGATCATGTGTCCGACTCCCGGCTGGAAGGCGTGCTACAGACGCCCCAACCCCCCTCTCTTGATGTCCGATGCCGTGGTCGTGTACCCGACTCCCGGCTGGAAGGCGTACCACAGACGCCCCCCCCCCCCCCCCCCCCTTCTCTTGATAAGGGATTTCCAACCGTTTGCAGATGCGAGATTCCTATTTCCCAGTGAAATGTGCGTTAAAGATATACAGGCGGGTTTCGACTCCCGTCTATCAGTTAAGCCTAAACTTCTACTCAGAGTCTCTCAGTCTCTGATCACGGGCACGCCCGCCACTCCCATCTGTCAAGACTTTCTGCTTAGAGTCTCCCAGTCCTCTTTCAAAGGTATAGATGGCATGACTTTCTGGTGAAAAATCACGCCGGACGTTTTACATACGTACGCCTGCACCACACGCACGCCCGTACCGGCTGAAACACACATTGATATTCTCTTTGACACGCCTTTCATTGCTAGCCTGTCTGTATGTCATCGACGGCGGCAAAAGGACTTTAAGGCATTTGTATTTTTTCTCACATGCTTTTTTCCGAGACAAGCACAACACTGTCACCAAGCGAAACAGGCACGCTTGCTTACTGAGTCAGAATAGAACACAGCTACAGATCATAGCAAAGTTATCATAATATATCACTTGACACACCAAAAACAAAACTATCACAATGTATTTTGAATTAGATAAACTATGCTAACAGCGCTCACATCTAAGTTCTTGACGAAGTCCCTGATATGGCTGACTCAGTTTGACATGACCTAGATTTGCTCGGCATTAATGTCACAGCTTTTATGCCACGAATGTTACGATGTTCGATGATAGAGAGTTCGAAGATAGAGAGATGAAAATGTTCGAAGATAGAGAGTTCGGTAAAAAAGCAAATATAGCTCTCTTACCGAAGTTGTTCCTACTATCGCCGTTGGTGAAACAGGCGGCCTCCAGCGGCGCACGTCAAAGCTCGCGCCACTCGCCACGTCATCTGATCCCGATGCAGAAGGGTTCACCAAGCTATACTAGTGGCCGCGCAGCGAGGTGGCGCCTCTTGCCGGTAGTTCTTGCCGCTGCACCATGCATCGACGCTGTTCGGGTGCCATCTACGGAGCACGCAGAGCAGCCATTGTGCACGCAACTCTGTGCCTAGCCTGATACTCGCGATCTGGCAGACTTCTGCGCGTACATCACGGCCAGCGTGGCCGAGTCGCATCACGTGATCGCGGCCAACGAGGGTTCGGCGGTGGCGCTGGCGGCCGGCTATCACCTGGCCACCGGACGCACTCCGCTCGTATATCTGCAGGTGAGAGAGCTCGTGCCAGCCGCCATCCTAGCTGGGCTGTGTGGCAGGGGCGTCACCAGGATTGGGCAGCCTGGGTGTATCCAGCTCCATTGGGGGGGGAGATGGTCCAAAATTGTGCTCGAGGTGAGGAGTGACCGATGATTTGGTGACCAAACATTCTGACTAGCTAAGCTTCACTCGAGCGATGTAGAGTCAGTCATGCCCCCCCCCCCCCCCCCACCGGCTCATTCTCCACCGGTGAATCGGTGACGGCCCTTGCCTCCGGCCGTGAACTCGCAGAGACTCGCATCGGTTGTTCAGAATGGCCCGATAGGGGCCGATCATGGTTCATTATGCGTATCGGTACTTAGTTCCTTGAATTGAGTGAGAATTTTGCGAAGTTAACGTATCGCTATGTTCACTGCCGGCTGAACCGGAGTTGTTAGCCTCTGCGCCGTTGCGGCTGTGCTGACCGCATAGTTTGAAAATCCGGACCTTTCTCTGCCATTTTCGCTGCATTCTTCGTGTCTGTTGTAATGTGCTGCCCGCCACGCCCGAGTCGTGTTTAGGAAGCCGTGTTCCCAGTCCGGCCGCGTCTGGCATGGTTGCATCTCTCTGAGATCTGGCGCCGGCAGAACTCTGGCCTGGGCAACGCGGCCAACCCGCTGCTGTCGCTGGCCTCGCCGGACGTGTACAGCTTCCCGATGCTGCTGCTGATCGGCTGGCGCGGCGAGCCGGGCAAGCGAGACGAGCCGCAGCACATGGTGCAGGGACAGGCCACACCCAGATTGCTAGGTCAGTCCCATGGGTCAGTCAGCCGCAGCAGATAGTGCAGGGCCATACCGCACCCAGCCTGCTTTGTGCAGGGACAGACCGCACCCAGCCCGCTAGGCCAGCTGCCGTTTTTCGGACGGCTCCACAGAGCCTCAGCACGTGGTCCAGGGCCGGCAGCGCGTGCCTACCAGGTCAACCACGGGTCCGCCATGTCAATCACAGGGGTGGCACGGGCACGCTATGGACGGGCTGCCGAGACGGTCGACAGATGGCGCGCGCCGCCGTACGGACAGACGAGGTGCTGATGGATGGCCCGCAGGGGTACCGCAGAGGTGGGCGCTCTGTCACGCATGGTCACCACAGATAGACGGTACGCTCGCGGACGGGTCGCGGGAGCGCTGCCGACAGACGGGATCTCTCGAGCCACACGCTCGCCAGCGGTCTGAAGTCCAACATGGGCGGACGGGCCTGTCAGCGGCTTGACGCGGGTTTGCCGTGTGCTGTCATAATAGTCACAGATGGCCCAGACGCGATTACGTAGGCCTGATAGGTACGATTGCTGATCACAGACATTGTTTATGGTACTGAGACCAAGGCGGACGACGTGTTTTTCCGTAGAGGGCTTCGCAAAAATGGGCAGGAGTCACATTGCTTCCTGTGCACGCTAGGATGCCAGTGTAATGGATCTCAGGCTCAGCACATACCTTCAGTCTTTCCAGGGAGAGGTCGCAGGTTCATTGACAGTTGGTGCTGTCGTAAATGAGTCGAAAGCCCAGCACATGTTGATGTCTGGGAGAAGTCACTAACGCGGATCATTCAGTCTCCCAGTTCAGAACTGTCAGCAGTCTTGGGACATGTGGGAAAATCTCTGGGTCCATGTGATGCGACAGGTCTGGTCATTGTTTTACTTGGGATGCGGACGGAGGCGCTCAACAGCGTCGTCGGTATCATTCTGATCATCAGAGGCTGCACCGGCTGATTGTACCAGGCTCCTTAGCATCACGTTATCCTCGCACTAAACCTGAGATGGACTGACCCACTTTCACAGAATTGACTCGGGATGAAACAGTATTGTGCTGTTTGCCACCTGTCTATTGACGCGAAAACAACAGTATTGTTTGTTGAGCTTCTCTCAAAGCACGTGGTTGTTAAGGCATTGCAGCACGGTATTGTATGCTTTCATGTAGTGACTCGCAGTTGGCACCATTGCCCACCGTTGCCCTGATGTCGGCTGCATTGGTCGCTTGACCTACGGCGTGTGCTGTCGCCGCCCAGCGTGAGCCCGTGACCCGATCCGGTGGTGCCAGCTGACTAGCCCCGCTATCCCTGTGTTGGCCAGACGCCATGGGCATCCCGTCTGAGCCGCTGCCGGACTACATAGCGGGCGCCGAGCGGGCGCTGCACACGGCCCTCCGGCACATGCGAACCGTTCAGGGGCCGTACGCGCTGCTGGTCAAGCGACAGGCGTTCTCGCCGCATGCGCTCGAGCTAGAACCGGCGTTCGAGTGAGTCTGCAGCGGGACGAGCATGCGACAAATGCCCAAACCAGCTGTGCTGCTGTAAGAGAAGCGTTGTAATGTTCTGCCTGTTACCCTCGCCCCCCCCCCAAAAAAAAAAAAACTAGGGAAAGCTTCTCAGCTACGAGCGTTTTTGCTGAATGTTGAACAGTAACTCATATTTCTAGGAATGTTTTCACTTGTTTGCCCTTGCATAACTGATTTGCTCACATGTGGTTAGTCGGATATGTACTTGCCATTCGTTTGCTGTGTCAACTACCTACACGCATACTGGTAAAGGCAGCCGGGGGCTGCCGTCCCACGCGTTAGGAGCGTGGCCCAACCACCTGGCCGCCGTCGCTGACCGCCCGACCCCGCCGCGCTAGTTCGCCGCTCAGCCGCGAGGCGGCGCTGCAACTGCTGGCCGACGGGCTGCACGACCGCGACGTGCTGGTCAGCACCACGGGCATGGCATCGCGTGAGCTGTTCGAATACCGCGTGGCGCGCGAGCAGGGCCACGAGCGCGACTTCCTCACGGTCGGCTCCATGGGACACGCCTCGTCCATCGCGCTTGGCATCGCTCTGCAGAAGCCGGCGAGGCAGGTGAGCTGATGCGGCGAGCAGGCGTGCTGATGCGGCGAGCAGGCGTCTGACAAGGGGAAAAGACACAGGGCTCTGGCGTGGGATGGAGTGTTGGTGAGGTTCCTAAACTGGTTGTGGACCGTAGACAGGCATATATGTGGTATATGCCTCAGTCATTTTTGTTCGGCCTTCCGTGTCGGGCTGTTGATCCGAGTGAGTGCTCGATAATGTTTTTTTTCTGTGTTCCGTGGTGGACCTTGATGATGGATGAATATCCGCCACGTCTTCATCCGGCGTCCAGGTCACTCGTTCCTTTTGTCCCACCTCTCCGGAGGCATCTGTTTGGGGACACCATGCGACCCTGTGTGGAAATAATTCGCAACGCTCTCGACACGGACGCTGGTGGGGCGCGTTGTTCAGCGAGTCAGCGTGAGTCCGCCGTGTTCCGTGCGTCGGCCTGCTCACCACCGCCGGGACTGGCCGTCGCGCGCCCCTGCCGGCCGGCTGCTCGGTACTCACCCCCTCCCCCTCCCCTGCCGCCAGGTGGTCTGTCTGGACGGTGACGGCGCCCTGCTGATGCACATGGGCTCGCTGGCCATCGTCGGGCAGCGCCAGCCGCGCAACTTCAAGCACGTGGTGCTGAACAACGGCGCGCACGACTCTGTGGGCGGTCAGCCGACGGCCGCCGCCGACCCTGCCTCACTCGACATCGCGCAGGTGGCGCTGGCGTGCGGCTACCGTCAGGTGAGCGGTCGCCAGCAGGCGCCGATTTGGTGCCGCGCCTTGCCAGAGTCTGTCTGCCGGGTTGAGGAGGCTTGACTGGGTCAGGTCGTGCCGCGAGCCGGCGCCGGCTCTGGTGTCGTGTCTTGCCGGTCCGGTCGTGTTTGTGTCTAGTCCGAACTATTGAGGCTGCTCGTTGTGGCTTACCGTAAAAACGTAGCTGATGTGCCACTGTATTCGTGAGGTGGTCGCACTCTACTGAAATCGGTACAAATAGCTGTACACCAGTCACGTGGTCGGTCACTCATTCGACAGAGAGGACCTACCGACGTGTAGTGGGGCCCGCCTCCCCACCTCTTCCGTGCCGATTTCGATGTCAGCCCGGTCTTTCCTGCGTGGCTCGGCCACCTGTCTCACACCCATCGATGTCATGCCGTCCCTGCTGCCAGCCCAGAGCTGCGGTAGGTCGGCGCCGCCGCTGACCGCTGGCCGCCGGCAGACGATGCGGGCCGAGACGGGGCCGGAGCTGGCGGCGGCCGTCTGCCAGCTGCGCGCCGCCGATGGGCCCGTGCTGCTGGAGGTGCGCGTGGCGGCCGGCGCCCGCGACAACCTGGGCCGGCCCAGTCGCTCGCCCGTCCAGAACAAGGCTGACCTCATGCAGTTCCTGGCCACCGACTGAGTGCGGGGCCGCGGCGGCAGGCAGCGAGGGCGCCGGCCGCCCCGCGCCCGCTCGGCGGGAGCGGGAAGGAGCGGAGGCGTTGCGGCTGGTGCGGTCGGTCGCGGATCCGTGGCTGTTGCCGAGGCGGTTTGCACTCCGACAACCGCCGAGGGCACGGTGCGACCCCGCCCAGCGTTGATTTAACCAGGGTAACTAATCAAATTGGTGCGTGGAGGCTCGCTGGGCCTCCCGTGAAGACGCCGGCTGTCTCACATAGCACCGCGTGCTGACGTCTGACGGACGGCCGCAGGAGGAATGCGTGCTGATGTCTGACGGAGGACCGCGTGCTGACGTCGCGGAGGACCGCGTTAGGTGCTGCGCGCTGCCTCTCACCACCGCTGCCGGTCTCGCTTACGACCGGACGTGTCCACTTCACTGCCATTCACATTCACTTTACTTCACACATTCCCGCTTCCGAATTACAAGACAGACGGGCGCTCGCCAGCTGGCGTCTCGCGGCATGACGTCACTGACTTCACGCTGTGATATAGGCATTCTGCGATGATTTCCTGTGACGGTGGCGGCCGTGTTCAGGCTCCCGATGAGCCGTGACATTCTTCATGCAGCCCTGCCTCACGATAGGTGGCAGGCAGAGTGCCGCGCGCCGGTCACGAGATTGACAGACTGCGAACTTTCCGAGATGCTAGTCTATTTGGCCATATTACTGTTCTTCGGTCCGGCTAGTCCGGCGCTTTATGGGCGCGCATGCTCGGCGGCCAACGAGCCCACGTGTGTCGTGTTGTGATGCTTCCATGTCCATTAAGGTGTGCCATCGAGGGGGTGAATTTCTTGCAATCAGCTGAGACGAAGCTTTTCTTCGGCACACGGATGAATAAAAAACTTTCAGGTCCGTCGTACCGCACCAATGTTGATATTCGTGAGGCGGAAGCAGTTTTTCTTTGATAGTACAAGGAAGCCGTATTCGATACTAGCGCCACCTATTTTACGCACTGGGATCATCCTCCAACAAGCCTCAAAGCTGCCACATTCCACACTACTGGTACTTGGTGGATTAAGTATGAAATATATATATATATATATATATATATATATATATATATATATATATATATATATATATGTGTGTGTGTGTGTGTGTGTGTGTGTGTGTGTATCATGAAGAGCACCAGCAAAACATTGCCAGACAGCTTTTAACCTGACTTTTTAGTAAGGAACATTAATTTTTGGCAAAACCCAAAGCTGTGCAGTTATGAGAATGCTCCAGCAGACCGGGTTAGGTCTAAGTCCGTTATTGTTAACACATCCCTGTGATGTGATGTGATGAATTCATGTGGTTTTTGCGTGAGAGATATGGGTTTATTAGTTTAGTTTTGCCGGTACTAAAACATTTATTTCGAACAATTACTTGCATAAGCATGCCGAGGGCCACACGGTCACGCACAAAACATTTTGTGATAGGCCACCCGGCTCTACCGTCCCATCACCAACTGCCGACTACGGGAAAACATCGAGCTACATCAGGTGACTGAGCGAATCGAAGAGGTATTTCACTAATACCATCTTCAAGACCGCGACGATAGAAATCAGGGTACTGTGGACCAACGAAGCGATCCCTGTTCATGATCTAAGATACGTGACAAAATTGATCGAGAGGGATTGATGTCATCCCAACAGAGCTATCATCAAGAGATCAAAGAAAGAGAGTGACACAGCAACGCCGCCACTGCGAAATTCAACGAGCTTCTTGATGTCGCGAAATGCTAGTGCAAGCCTCAGTGCAGCTTTCCATGCCCAGTTGCCTGCTCAGTGTATCAGGGGGAAGTTGCCATGAAGGACCAGTGCAGGCACCGGAAGCTTACGCTGAGGTCATATGACCGGGATGCTATTGTGGCAAGGGGGGCTCGCGAAATGAGGAGGATAACTAGGCAACTCCAGGGGCGTCGTGGCTCGGCCACCAGTGAGGCGGTATCTGCTGCTGAACCTGAATCACCCTCCCCGCCGACTGCTGAAACGACGCCGTCTGCTCAGCCTGCGCTGGCTACAAGTGCTGACCCGAGCCTGCTCCGAGACCATGTGGTCTCAGCGCTGGAGAGTTAGCCGAGAGCACGGATTCCTACACGGTTCCGTACATGGTAGAAGGTGGCGACGACGCCGAGTGTTCGTTCCGGTTGAGACCACCGTCCCTGTATATGATTACGTCATCGGTCTGACTAACACCGCTCTGGCAGTTGGCAACTACGGTGGCTCAAACCGAGCCACTGCTGCCATTATCAACGCCTTTGAAGAAGACAGTAGAGACGGACTGGCTACTTGAAATCAAATATCGTAGATCCTAAGAAGATCTGCTGCGCAAGAGACAGAACGAGAAAGGAGACGGCTCATTAAAATTTTGAAGCAATCCACGAGTCAGGTTTGACCATCCTCTACTCCGACGGACGCGAAGGCAAGAGCTAAATGAGCCACACGGGGCCAGACGGATGCCGTCGAAAAACACGTGGCTGTCATCACTGAGCCAGGCAACCGCTACGTGACTCATTTTACGTCCGAGTTTGGTCACGCCCTGCACTTGTTCAACGACCTATACTCCATGAGCCCGCAGCGCGACGTCCGAGCATCAATGTGCTCGGTTGCGATGGCACAACCGTCAACGCCGAAACGATAGGCGACGTGTTCCGGCTGTTTGAGCTGGCCACCGAGTCACCCGTACACTGGTTCATCTGCCAGCTGCAGGGCAACGAGCTGAGCCTCCACCATCTGCTACGAGCTTGGACGGCACGACCACGGGATCGAATTTTTTTACTGGACCCATCGGCAAGACCTGTGCCGGAGAGGTCTGGGAGAGGGACGTTGTGGTATTCAAGCCTAGGTCGGGGTACATGCCAAACCTGCCGGTCGACCTGATTCGGGAGCTGAGCACCAACTAGCAGTTGCTGTACCTTCTGGCCGCCGGTGTTCAAAACGGCTCTGTCCGAAACGTGACAGCCCAGCTGCGAATCGGACCATCAAACCATTTCAGGTAAATATGAAAATGCATTATCTTCGAACGTATAGCAATGAGTAAGTAAAGTTCATCAAGTATCAATTGGTATTTCATGTGCTCACTGTTGAGCATTGATTATCATACCTTGTGCTGTAGTATGTCGCATCATTTGATGGTTAGTTCATGCTTACCAGCATATTTGTTTATATGTAGTCCGTCATATTTAAGGACTCTGGATATCGGCATAATTACAAACACTAAAGAGGCGCAATTTTTTGTATGATCTAATGATAAGTTCGTAGCGCATTGTTGTAATATATTCGCTTTGTTTTCAGATGGTTGGCACTGGCCGCTCGTCTGCTTCTAGTTCACATTTCTACCGAGACCTACAGCAGCGCTCTCAAGAACCTCGTCCAGTGCGTGGTCGGCCACTATGTGTCAGTACGGTTCGTCATCCGACAAAACAGCGGCTCCGGCTTACGCAGCTTGTTCCGGAGCATCGCGCCGCTCCGCGGCCTGCCGCAGCACACATAGGCCACGGTGCAGCCAGTCCTCCAGCGTAACGGGTACTGGGTCCGTCCGGAACTGCTGCTGCTGGACATGGTGTGGGATGAGAACCGCATGGTCCGCGAACAGGCGGTTCCGATCCTCGCGCCGCACGTGAGCAGCAAACCGAGCGTTTCCTTCAGCCCAGGATCTTCGCCATCTCAGCGGTAAACTTGGAGGCCGTGAGGTACACCGAACTGATTCCCTGGCATGGACCAGTTACACGCCCTTCACTGCGAGACCTCACCGACTGCGGGCTGCGGAACAAAGTGCAGGCACCGCTGGCCATCTTGCCCTATCTGGTCCACACCAGAAGTGCGACGCAGCGCTGCACTGCCGAGGACGTCTGCGACCAGGACTGGACCTTCGGCAAGATGTGGAGCCTAGCTACGAAGGTATTTCTGCTACCGTGCGATCTCTGCTGACACGCGTTTTGGGTTTACAGTCTGTAAGCAATTGCTGTTTGGGTCGGTGCATCGAATACACAGGCTTGGCAACGAGCAAGACATGCATGGGGTCTCCCTACGCCCGTGGTACAGGCTGCAGAACTTGCTGTGTGTATTGAGTTGCACACCAGACAATATATTCTGGGTGATATGCCATACATAGTTTTGTTTGCATCACGTGAGTTGTCTTAGAGGAGTGAAAGTCGAAAGCATTGCTAACCATGCTAACCATTGCATGCTAACCAGCATACTCGTACGAGTTCATACTCAACGGCACATAAGTTTCCACCAAATGGCAATCAATCGGGCAATGTCTGATCCGCATATTAGACCTTAGACCGGGACATTCTCGTGCGACAGCATAAAGAGCGCTCGTTAGCATCGTTTCTATACGCAAAGGTATTTTGGGTCGCTTGCCGCCCGCGGCTTGGTGTCACCTGCGGCGGCGGCCAGCCGCCCAGCATGGGGTGACTGCAACGCCTGGGTATCGATTTACGGCGATATTTCGATCGGCTCGCGCCTCACGAATTTAAGTTTCTGGGAAGAACTTTTGCCATGCCGTGTACTTCTGGACTCCTGCGCCAAAGAATTTCTTTGTCTCACAAGGTTTTGTTACTGATGTCACACCCTAATGTCCACTGTCCCTGCAATCATTGGTGCGCCGCGGCCCGGCCCGGCCGACGGGTCCTCAAGTGTACATTTACCCGGGCAACATACGTAGCCGGAACGAGGTCCGTATCCAACTGCCCGTCACACGCACATTCCCCGCTGACGTCGGCCGCCCCAAACGCCTCAAGCCATTCCCACGGCACGCTAGACAGAGGCGGATCCACAGCGATGCAGGGCGTGACATCGTGTTGAAGCGGTCAAGAACCAATGCCATCAGAAGCTCCAGCGGGCACGCTAGACAGAGGCGGATCCACAGCGGTGTAGGGCGTGACATCGTGTTGAAGCGGTCAAGAACCAATGCTTCCAGAAGCTCCAGCGGGCAGCATCTTTTTCCGCAGTCTTCCGGTCACTCCTGGTATCTGAATGTCATCAGTACAAGGACGGTCGTGGTAGTAATTGGGGCTCTAGGGTGCTTCGACTGTGCGGTCATGTAGCGCCCATCACTAAAGCGGTCAAGAACCAATGTTCTGTTCAACACGCGCCCGGGTGGGGGGGGGGGGGGGGTCATTTAGCTTCTATCATTTCCGGTGACTTTGATTTCACAACGGTGATTGTGAATCAAACAACGGTTTTGGCAACGGTGATTTCATTTATAATCCAGCGACCTCTAGTCATTTCCGACCCAATATTTGGTATCTAAACCACCGCATCACAAACTACTCTTTATTCCGCGGTCCTCCACCCTAGACGGCTTACGCCATAGTCGCTAGATGTCGGGCGGCCACATACTACGGTTTAGGAACCACATCGCATACACATCACCGCATGTGCATTATGTATGAAGGTCGGACCAGGGCTAAACCAACTTGTTTTTTTACTCGATAGCCTGCTGTATGGGGTAGTTTCTGGTGTTCATTTCGAATTTACTTATGCCAGGGACCACAACAGTTACCTTCTATGAACTTCTTAAGCGTCAATTTGACCCGAAGGTCTTGATCTAGGAACCTAAATCTGCCTTGCAAGTAAGTTTGCATACAGGCTAACCCACGGTATGAATTTGGTACTCGTTGCTCTCCTATTTTTAGAGACATCAAGGGGTCAAATTCCCCCCTCCGAATGAAGGGTATTCAACCTGCCACCCGGGCGCGTGCGACGGGACTAGTGCGAGAGCTTCTTCTTCCGGGGTCCTCCAGCCAGCCCTTTTATCTGAATGCCGTCACAATGCGTCACTCACGGACACCTGTAGCTGTAGTGTAACGTTTACCGTACTTCGCTAAATGTTGTTAATGTACGTCTGATGCATGGTTCCGCATCATAACGGTTCGTCTGATCATGATCATAACGGTACGTCTGATCATGGTTCCGCATCATAACATTTTTTTTTCGTAACCCGCCCATTGCGCCAAATAAACGTCTATCCCCATTTGTGTGTGTTAAAGAGAGATATAGCTGCCGTTTGTCAGGCTTGATCCCTGCACTTGCATGATGCCTACGGGTTTCAGTAGTCGAAACCAGTAAGTCGAGACATTCGGGTACCTATTTAGACAGTGTGCAGTTGTCGGCACTCACGCGCTGAGCAGTGGCAGGCTGACGCGCTGGCCGCTCGCGGGGCAGCGCACTGGGACGTCTCGGGTCACCGACAGGGCCGACCGGCGATTAATGCACTCTCGGTAGGCAGCATGCACATTATTCGCACAGGAACCCTGCGATGCGTCCAAAAAGTGCAAGCTCAAGGCGCAGACACGCCGTTAGTCAATGGTGACCTTGCAGCCAACCAACACCGAACACGCTACGGTGCCACTAGCGGCGCGAGAGGTCGTGGCTCGGAATCAGGGGGTGGCTTCTCGCACCTAGCATATATCTGGTGCAGCCGGCTACGACGCACATACCGGTCTGCTGCAGCTTCTAATGACGCCACTGTCCCTGACAGACTCCGGCGAAGGCAGCCATGGTGCGCTGGCCGGTTGTAGGCGCCTGTGATGACCGGGCACGGTATGTCGGCCCACCAAACACTCCTGAGACGACGCGTGGACGCCAAATAATCGCCCGTCCGAGGTTCGTGTGTTTAAAGCGGTGTCATCGGCCGTCGGAGGTTCAGATGTTTATGTTGTAATCGAGTGAAACCTCACACCTTCGGTTATCAGATCCGTGACAGATCGAACACATCGACCGGATTTTGTAGGCTTGGTGCACAGTAGTGCACCAAGCTTCACGCTAAGACTGGTGGTTCCTGAACAATATTTTTCAAACAACCCCCGATCGTATGACTGGCTTTCTAGGTCGCGATGAAGCTAACGGAGCCTACATCAACACGATCGTGCATGACATTTGCGTTATTATTACTCTTTAGCTGTATACAAAATTTCCGAGTACACTTCCACGACACAGTGTATGTACAAATGAGTGGTATCGAAACACGCGCACATCACGACTACAGGCCGCCTCGTGACGGCAGTAATGCGTTACCGCCGGCACGCACCGCGACAACAACAGAGAACGCCCGTCACAGCGGAGCTGCGCGGCAACAACCCAAGGCTGCCCATGCGCTCGGCGCCAGGCGGCAATAAATAACGAGCAACACTAATAAATAACAAACGGGAGGTACGTTTCCAGAGAGGAGTGAGCCCTTTGAACGGGCCAGCGGGCGGCCGGCCAGCAGAATACTGTTTCACTGACTGCCCGGTCGCTCGCGCGCGTCGCGACACGACTGGACGACGTAATATCGGCTAACTTGAACTATGGGAGCTGTTTGAACTGTCTGACGAGGTGCGCGCCTCGTCGTCGGCGCGCCGCCGCCGCGGACGGCGGCCGTCGGCGCACGTCACCGGCGCGTGCACCTCCACCTTGACGTGGGTGGTGGCGGTGACCTTGGTGGTGATGAGCGCTGCTTCGGCGCCGGCCGGGCGCCGCTCGCCCTCCGGCGGGTACGTCGTCTCCACCACCACCTGAGGCTCGACCACGATGTCGTGGGTGCGCGCCTCGGTCCGGCCCGACGACGCCTGCGAGCCGCTAGACTCCTCCGTGATCGTGCTCAGGCTCAGCTGGCTCGGCGCGTGCTTGAGCTTGCTGGCGGCCGGCGGCCGCGTCAGCGACGAGGAGCGGTAGACGCGCGGCCCCCGCACGCGCGGCGGCGACGGCTGCGGGCTGGGCGCCGCCAGCACGTCCCCGCCGCCGGCCGGCCGCACCTCGGCCGGCGGCCCCAGCCAGCACAGCAGCACTGGCAGCAGCACCAGCCCGTTCACCAGGCCTAGCAGCACCAGCGACGCCAGCACGCAGAAAAAGTACCTGTGGAGGACGGGGCCAGTCAGCTGTCGGTCTGGTGAAGCACCAGACCGTTCGCGGCCTCCGTTCGCAGAAGCGTTCGCGGCGCGCCCAAGACGCGTCATTCACAATCACATTCCTCGAAACAGCATACTGGGCCACCTCCCAATGCGCTGAATTGCCGGCACGCACGAAACGTACGGAACGACTCACCCTCCTGACGCAAACCTGCAAGGCGAGCTAATCACCCGGACAAAGCAACGTAAATTGCAGATAATGCCTTGTATTTATAGTCTATTTCCATTTGAGCCCGGTCGTATTTCAGTCACGTCTCGACCGGCTCGCGGCCGATTAGGCATTCCGTTGCGTTATTGATGCGCGCCCCACGCAAAACCACCCCCTGGGTGGTCCGTGTTTTCCTGCAGAAAAACCGCCCGATTAGCATAGTATTTCCTGTTGAGCCGCGGCGCGCGGCCGGCTCGCCGCCGGCGCCCCGGAACCGTGCAGCGGGCCGAGCCGGGGCCGGTAGCCCGAGTTCTCGGCGTGATCCGCCGGCGGCGGCGGCGGCGGCCGGCTTCGCGGGACGTAACTCCCGGACATCGGACGCGCCGACCGGCGGCCTTCGGTCGGACGACCGGCGGCCGGCAGCCCGCCCAGTCAGCGGTGGCGGCGGTGGCGGGGCCGCTGACGCGCCGCCGCCGCCGCCGCGCCGTGTCGTCGCGCTGACCGGGCGTCGGCGGTCGCGCCGCCGGCCGGCGCATTCCGACCAGACGATGCCCCTAATCACCGGCGCTGCGGCCTCGCCGACCGCGGTGGCGGCCGGCGGCGGCGCTGGCGGGCACGCGCCGCCGCCCGCCGCCGCGCCCGCCGAATGCCGCTGATACGGTTGTGTAATTTCCCTACGTGACCGGGCCTGCTAATCGGCGCCGCCGCTGCAGCCGCACACGGCCGGCCGGCCAGACAATGGCTCGCCGCGGCCGGCGGTCGGCGGGCCGCCGCCTCCGCCACGCTGAAGCCTCCCGACCTGCGCGGCCCGGCCGCCCGCCCGCTGACGGCGGCCGTCGCCCGGCAGCGGCTAATGAAGCTGCCAGCCAGCCCGGCCGCGGGCCCGGCGGCTGCGCATTCAGATACGCGGCTCCGCCCCTGATGACTTTGCCCCGACTGGCTGATGAAGATGTTACCAGACCTGTTTTGTCGGGGGTGCCACAAGCACTTGATGAAGATGTTACCATACGTGCTTGGCGAGAACGTTACCGGAACCGGTCCGTGGTATCGCAACCAGGACTGCTCCATAAGGACGACAGTGACACCGTAATCGCTCTCTGAAGATATTACCATGTCCAGTCCGTGACCACGCTACAATAACCGCCTTCGTGAAAGCGTTACCGGGACCGCGTGGTAAATACGTTACCAGAATTCGGGACCACACGGTAACGACGTGACCAGAATTATTCCGACAGAACGTTGCCGGAGCCTGACTGCGATTACCTCACTGACATCACTGTTTCGTGCAGGCACTGTCACAGCAGCGTCATAGAGACGTCATGGTAACCCCTCCGTCAAAACGTGACCATTCCGCTGTATGAAGACGTCACCGGCCCGTCCTGTGAAGACTGTATCGCCCGACCCCAGTCGGCAGCTGGCTATGCTAATCCGCCGCCGTCGCCCCTGGATGCCGACCGAGCGCGCGGTCCGCAAACAAATGGAAATCAGGCCGGCGCCGAGGGGAGGCGCGCGGACCGGCGGCCGCCGACCCGCCGCGAACGCGCGACGAGCGGCCAATTTGTATGCTGTCGCTCCTAAATCTCCCTTTCAGCCTCGGAGCCCTTCGCCGTCGTCCTTGTTCCACGGCGTCGTAACTTCGGGCCGGCCGGGGGCCGCGGTTGGGCGCTGAGGTGCGAGAGGCTGGGGTCGGGCGCCGAGGCGCTGAGGTGCGGCAGGCCGGGGTCGGGCACTGAGGTGCGAGAGGCTGGGGTCGGGCACTTGAGGTGCCGGGGGCCGGGGTCGGGCGCTGAGGTGCGGAGGCCGGAATCGGGCACTGAGATGCCAGAGGCCGGGGTCGGGCACTGAGGTGCGGCAGGCCGGGGTCGGGCACTGAGGTGCCGGGGGCCGGGGTCGGGCGCTGAGGTGCGGAGGCTGGAGTCGGGCACTGAGATGCGAGAGGCTGGGGTCGGGAGCTGAGGTGCTGGGGGCCGGGGTTGAGTGCAAGGTGCGAGGGGCCAAGGTCGGGCACTGAGGTGCGGGTGACCGGAGTCGGGCGCTGAGGAACAGAAGGCTGGGGTCAGGCGATGAGGTGCCGGGGGCCGGGGTCGGGCACTGAGGTACGGGTGACCGGAGTCGGGCGCTGAGGAACAGAAGGCTGGGTTCAGGCGCTGAGGTGCTGGGGGCCGGGGTTGAGTGCAAGGTGCGGGAGGCCAGGGTCGGGCGCTGAGGTGCTGGGGGCCGGGGTTGAGTGCAAGGTGCGGGAGGCCAGGGTCGGGCCTGGGGTGCCAGCGAGCGGGTCTGCGAGTTGGGCCTGTACCTGGAGCGAGCCTGGGAGCGCGTGCGAGACGGACTGCCGGCGGCCGGCAGGACGGGTGGAGCGCGCGCGCGTGCCTGCGCCGTGCAGGTTGCTGACCGGCGCCGGTCGTCCGGCCCCGCGCAGACCCGCGTCGCGTTCCGACTGCCGAGCGCGCGGCGGCAGACGCAGCCATCCAGGTCGAAACCGCGGTGGCAGTGGCCGCAGCGTCGGTCTGGATGTGACTACCGCCGCACGCATGGCGCCGGCACGAAGGTGCAACACACTGGTACGTGTGCTCGTCAGGAAGTCTTAGGGAGTCGTTATGAAGTATAGATGGGAGCCGCTTGTAACCCAGACGCCTAGAGGCGCAGAGTTTTCGTCGTCCATGGGTCAGGAGAGGTGGACTCTCCGCTCTCCGATGTCATCGGGTCATGATAAACCTGCTCTCCTATGCCCGATGCCCGGTCAGGAAACACGAGTCAAGCGCTGCCCACGAGTCTGGAGCAACGTACTCTGGCCCCCTTGGCCCGGCGGCGTTCAGTATGACGTCACAGCCCTGACTTCAGCGAGGAGGTACGGACCGGTGGACTGGGGACATGCGCAGCGGAGGGAGACGCGTCGCCTTTGTCGCGCTCCACACCTGGTGCCGGCCTGAATGCCAAGGAATGTCGGCCGAACGCTTTATATCTTCACTTTTCAACGGGCGGCGACAAAAACTCGGCTGGGCGCCGACGGTGCGCCCTCCTTTCAATGATTAACGGCAGCGTTAATTGTGCCGGCAGGGGGCAGGAGGCGGCAAAAACGCAGCGACAGCAGGAATTTACGATTTCTAAGGGTGTCCAGCAACGAGGACGAGATAATGATCATTTGTTGTGAGCGGCGGCACCGCCGCACGTAAAAACGTTCGGCGCGAGGGTGCACCCAAAGGCGGACACTTTCGTCGGCGCAGCGTGGCTCGTCGGAGCCCAGAACCCACTCAGCATGGTCCGGTCCCGGCGAATGGGGCGCGGCCACCTCCGCTGTCTCAGTCCCAGACACGATGAACGATTGCGACTAAGTCCCTTTCTACACCTGCCTCAAATGCCATGCTTCATTTGGTAAAGGCTGCCAGACGCCAGACGCTTCGACTGCCAGACGCTTCCGCCGACCACAGCCCGCGACCGCAAATACAACGTGAAACGGGCGACCCTGGGCCACTCTCGACCGGTTCGACTCTCGAACGGCGCGTGCCAGGTGCACAGCGCATCCTCCGCCGCCTCACCTGATGATGAAATCGAACTCGGAGAAGGCCAGCATCAGCACGCCGAGGAATGTGGAGAAGGCGCCGTGGAAGACGGGCCTGAACATCTGCTCCAGGCCGCGCTGGACCCGCAGTGCCCGGCTGCCCAGACTGGTCAGGTACCCCTGAAAACACGAATGGTCAGGCCCCGGTCTGCGTCCGGGCCGGAGCGTCTGACCCGCACCGTCGGCTGCCCAGACTGGTCAGGTAACATCCCTTGAAACGCTACCAGACTAGCCAGTGGTCCTTGCCGTGTGGTGTCGAATCCAGACGTGTCAGACACCCAGGTTCACATCGCACACGGACTGGTCACGTGCCCGCGCCGGCAATGTCTAACAGTTGCCGGGTGACCTTGCAAAAGGACGGCTGTCCTCGCGTCGCCAGTTCAGCACCCAAGACGCAATTAATCGCTGCGAGTCGGATTAGTCCTGTTTCGTCAAGTTCGACCACTGGACATCGGGCACTGATTGAATCGAACGCTTTTTACGATGCCGGTCGTACGGGATTAATCGCTTGCGGCCAGCGACCACACGGGAGTAATCCCGCACTGGCCGCCGGCCGTCCGCAGCCACTCGTCACACCCGGCTGCCGGCCGTCCGCAGCCACTCGTCACACCCGGCTGCCGGCCGTCCGCAGCCACTCGTCACACCCGGCTGCCGGCCGTCCGCAGCCACTCGTCACACCCGGCTGCCGGCCGTCCGCAGCCACTCGTCACACCCGGCTGCCGGCCGTCCGCAGCCACTCGTCACAGATCGGCGTGGCAGCCGAACGATCAGTGGGGAAAACTACTCACCGCCAGCCAGATATCAGGCGGAAAAAGGCGAAAAAGACGTCACCAGACGTAGTATAAAAGCTTTTGTCACTTGGAATTTGATTTCTCGTGCACAGCAATCACTAATCAGGCGCATTTTGCGGCGTGGGACGAGCGAGGTGGTGACAGACTTGATCTTAACCATACCGATGGTGCCTTAATATGAGCCAATAGGGACTGTCGCCTTTGAGAACCCGTACGGATAGGAGGTGCATAACTGCACTCGAACAGGCTGCTTTCATTTGTCTGGCAGAGGTGCTGATGTTGTGCGTCCGCGCGCTACCATCTACATAAGACAGGGACATTGGTTAGCTTTGGCCCTGCCAAATCCCGGTAACTTTAAGAGATGACGCGACGGATTTTATACCTTGTGTGGATGTTGGTCCTAATACATTGTGCTACGTGCCTGTGTATGCCCATGACAAGCTCTGTGTCAGTTTGCGAAACAGCGTGTTGTATGTGAGACCAGTTTCGGAAAATGGGACGTTGCTGCTTTTACGGTCGACTACTGGTAAGGCTATAGGCCGGGCAGCATTGAGATCTCTTACTGATTTGAAAAAAACACGTTCACCTAAGTCATACAGGTGGCTTCGCCCCCTTATCTGCTCAAGTCCCCGAGATCTGATGAATCATAGTAAAACACGTTCGAAAACGGGACGGTCCAAAACCGGATGGTGGTTTGTGCACCACTATGCGAGAGTCTGCACACACTTATCCCAACTCTTGCCGGTACGACGGGCCATTTTCTTCTCTGAGCTGACCGGTGGTTACGTGGCAAAGATAATAAGATCGTCAAAAGCATAGCTAACCGGCCGAACCGGTACGGGCCGCTGAAAATACAAGGCTTCCTGTTGGTTGATGCTAACACTCGCCAGGCATGTGCCATCGCTCGAAATCACCGCCCAATCTAAAAGCATGCGATGGCAGTGCAAAACTACAAACCGCTCGTTTACTTCTTGTTGATAAAATCGACAGCTTGGTCATACCGCCGAGGTGAGCTGTCGCCAGCATTGAGGAGGAATCACTCGCCTGTATGAACCGCCGCCACCGGCCCGGCGAGTGAAACGGACCGCTCGAGCTCAGGTGGTCCACGAGCGGACGGCCGATAGAGAGGCTTACAGCAGCCAGCGCTCGGCTCGCGGCAATAAAACGCTGCCACTGTCGGAGCCAAGTGAAAAACATTGCCAAATTTTATTTATGGCCAGCCGGAGCTTGCAGGAAACGAGTTCCCGCTGCCCAGTAGGACGCCGGCCGCGGCGGGAGGTGGGCCCTGCACGGTGGCGCTGGCCGGGCCGAGCGGCGGCGCCGGCGCCGAACTGGACCGGCCGCAGCGGTGCGTGCCGCCGGCTGGCCGACCGACGCCGAGCGCGATCGACGGGTCTGACCTGGGCGCGCGACTGTGCCGACCAGGGGCTGGGTGCGATGGACTGACCGAAAGTCGATATACGGAAGATAAACTTAGTTTGGAGGGAGTTGCTGCGCTGCACGGGTTAGTTCAAGCTGACCACTACCTCGCGGCCGAAGGAATTCGATGAGGTCGCCATTGCTTCTTACGTTCACCAATTACAACTGATCAAGTTGTAATACACAGCAGTGATAGCGCCCAGCCTTGGCATGCCCAAGTCCTGCTGCATGAGCGGCGCGACTTACCAGCAGTACGTGGACGGTGAACTGGACGCCGAGTCCGGCGGACATGATGAGGATGACGGCGGGCACGGCGCTCAGCCGCAGGCCCAGGAAGCCCATGACGCCCAGCAGCTGCAGCACCGTCAACCCGATGACGAACACCACCACGCCGGCCGCCCACACGTTCATCAGCACCACCGAGATGACCAGGAAGATGGCCACGAACACGCAGAGCAGCGCCAGCGCCAGGAAGAAGCGCAGGCTCACGTACTGCTCCCAGTACGTGAACGGGTCGCCGCTGGGGAAGTTCGGCAGGCCGCGCTCCTCGAACCGCCGACAGATACGGCGCACCTGCTCGATCGTCTCCACGATGTTGTCCGTCGTGGCCATGCCGTTGAGGAAGAACGGCATCTGCGCGTACACCAGCGGCTGCGACTTGGGGATCTTGAGCTCGACGTCGCCCGCCACGTGCAGCCACCGCTTGGGCTTCGGCCGCAGCTGCGCCTGGGCCAACGAGTACGCCATCGCGTCGTTGGTCGTCCAGGCCGTCAGGTAGTTGTAGAACGCCTTGGGGTTAATGATGCCGTCCTTGACCAGGCGTACGTGCGGCAGCAGCGACTTGTCGATCGGGTAGTCCACGCGGCCGGTCTGCACGAGCAGCTTGAAGGCGAGCACGGCCTCGTCGGACGCGTTGCGGGACCAGCGCTCGCGGTCGATCAGGCCGAGCGCCCAGTCGCGGTCGAACGCCCGCTGCAGGTCTGCCAGCGGTCGCGGGGCCAGTCGTTAGTCGTGCGGCGGCGCGCCATAGATACCATCGCGCCGGGCGGTTCAGTTACGTCACACCCATAACGGGCGGCAGCAGATGCCGGCGTACGCGCACGGGCATCCGGACTGATTTGCGTGCGGAGATTTGCTCGACCGCGGGCGGGCGTTCATAATTAACACGCTTTTAGGAATGCACGCAAACTATCTCCACATGATGCAATGGGTTTAAGGAGATTGCCTTTCGTTATAGGATGCAACATATGCATAAATGAAAAATACAGCAGCAAACAAAGACAGGCAGCAAGGACCGGTGGTATGGTATACGGAAGATGAAGCGGGACAACAGAGGTAACATGTTTCAGGTAAGCCACCAGGTGGGGAGGAACCACGCGCAGGCACGGTTTTGCGCCCGCACATGATCGACACGAGGCGTCGCAGCCGCAGAAAGTCCGACCAGCCGCACCACCGCGAGTGCCCAGCTCACAGTCCGAGTAACAGACGGCGACGCCCAACAGCCGGACTCACCGATCAGCCAGTCCCGGAACATGCCCAGCCAGAAGTCGGGCAGGCCACCGTCGTCGTTCTTGATGACGCGCGGCACCCTGGTGAAGGCCTGGTGGTACTCATGCAGGAGCCGCTGGTTGGTCGGGTATTCGAAGTTTCCCTGAGTGACGGCGTACATGTGGAAGACGCCGAAGTACTGGCGCTGCACGTCCAGAAAGGCATACTCGTCCGAGCCGCGCGGCACCACGTCCGTCAGGTCCAGGCCGTCGCGCACCTCGCACGCGCCCCACACGCCGGCGGCGGCCACCGCCAGCGACGTCAGCAGCACGGCCAGCTTGAACGGCCGCCGCACCACCCAGCCCAGGTAGTAGCGCTCCACCAGCCACTGCAGGCCGAGGCGGCGGCAGTGGCGGCGACGCTCGGGGCAGAAGACGGCGCCGGTTGCCGGCCGCCGCCCGGCCGGCCGCACCAGTGTCCTCGTCGACGCCACAGAGTTCAGCGACTCGGCCGAGCGCGTCAGGCCGGCGGCTGGCTGCTCGCCGGCCGCGCCGGCGCTCACGAGCGTCACCACGCCGCCAGAGCGGCTCGTCTTCGTCACGATATCCCTCTTGGTGGGCGGCGGCGGCGGCGAGGGCGGCGCGGAGAACGTGTCGAGCGGCTCGCCTGGCGGCCCCTCCTCCGGGCCCGGCTCCGACCAGCAGCAGACGATGTCGAACATGCGCGCCCGCCGCCGCCGCAGGTCCACACTCATCATCGCAGGGAAGATCACCAGGATCGAGAGCACGTTGAACACCATCAGAATGCACGCCTGCGGATGAGAGCTGGTTTTCAGAGCGGTGTTTCACTCTTCGCTCTGCGCATGACGGAGAATGCATGTAAACACAGTTCTCTCCCTCGCATTAACGAAAACGATTGGTGCAGGTATTCAAGTGACATCCTAACATATTTTTTCACATGCAAATCGTGTGCGCAGCCTGAGCCTTCGCAAGAGATTCGCCGGATGACGCATTGCAAGACCAGGACGCCACCGTCAAGGCGTCCATGGTCCACGGACTCGCTCGAGGTGAGTCCGCGGAGCACACACCTGCAGCGAGAAGGAGCGCAGTGCCGGTATGGGCAGGATGGCGGCCGACAGGAACGCCATGACGTTGCACAGTGACGTGAGCAGCACGCTGACGCCGGCCCGCCGCATCAGCTCCCCCACGCGGTCCTGCCGGCACGGACGACGTCAGAGATGCTCCCACGTCGCACGGACGCTCCGGCGTCAGCGGAGCCAGGCGGGGCGGACGCAGCCAGCCGAGCGGTGGGCGGCCCTCTGACTTACTGTGGTGCGTGTCATGGCACATCACCACTGAATGGCTCTGAAATCTAATGATGCCACGCTACGAACACACCGTGCTGAAAGGCCCGTGCGGTACACGGTTAAAGCGTCATCCGTCCTCGCCGACAGTTCTACGCTCGCGACACGGCCGGCTTCTCAGCGCACGACGCCAGTCATCGCCCCGGCGGCGACAAAAAAGGCCGGTCTCCTCCTCACCTGGCCATGATATATGGCACCACTCGGCGGACCCCGCGCTGCCATATTTTTCCGCGCGACCCAGGCGGCGGTCTACAAAACGGCACAGAGCCGACCCTTGGCGCCCCGCCCCCCCCCCCCCCCCCCGCTGCGGAACATACCTGGCGACCCCCGCGGACCCGTCCAGCCGCCGATTGAGACGTCCCGCCACCCTAAAATCATTACGTCCCGGGACACGGCGGAACGGCCGCGATTTCGATCTGGGGGCCGATGGGCGACACCCGGGGTGGCGCGCTCGACCGCGTCACGTGGCGCATCACGCGGCGCCTCACGTGGTGCGGCCGCCATTGTTGCGCCCGCCCGCGGCCCGGCACGCACCAGGTCGGCTCTTGTGCTCCCAGGAATGCGCTAATCAAGATGTTAACCGATCTTGGCGCGCGCGGCGGGTGTCGGCGGGCGAGATTTGTGGCCGGGCCGAGTCGCGGCCGGCCGTCTACTCGTCGCGTGTTGGCGCGCTCTGACGCGGTGTGATGGAGAGCGGGGACGGGTGAAGGAGACGGGCAGGGCTGTCGGCCCGGAGAGAAACGGAACAGGCCGCGAGGAATTCAAGCGGCCTAGGTGCCACTGAAAACGGTCTCGTCGTGCCCACCGAGCGGAACCAATAAGACAGTGCATTTCAGACATTAGAAATTACACGAAAACAGCAAAAATGTTAAAAAATTGAAGGAAGCTTACATGCTGGCTGGTCACTAATCGCTAACGGCGCGGGACCACCAAACAGCTAATTACGCCCGGTCCCAAACATGACTCAAACGGACCGCCCTGGCCCGGCGCTGTCCGGGGCCGCCGCGGCCAGCGATACATCAGCGCGGCAGGCCGGCGCCGGCTGCCGGCCGGCTGTGCAGCGGCAGAGTACGCCGCGGCCGGCTGGCGGGCGGGCAGCGGACGACGGCGCCGGCCGCGAGCGCTTCTAGGGAGGGGGCAGATTTATGGGCCGCCGGGCACCGTGACAGGTGTCGGACGCGGACCACCCAGCCGCGCTGTGACGTCACCACGCGAGCCGAGCCAATCGGCGCGCACTGCGGCCGCGGCCCGGCCAGCGCCCAAACTGGCGCGGTCGCGACAGGTTGAACACGGTAGGCCCAACGGCGCGGCGGTTCCGAACCGATGTCACATCTCGAACGGTGCCCCCCAGGCCTGGCTGGAAGGGAGGGGGCGGCTCGGAAGGCGGCGACCACCCAGGCGGCTCCTACAAACGACCGGTAATGGCCGACAGATAGCGCTGAAAGAACGGCCGCTGCACGCCAGCAGGCCACCCACGAAGTCCGACCCCCCCCCCTTCCCCGCCCTCCTGCCGCCGGCTCTGGGAGGGCGCGAGTCCGCAGTACACATGCTCCACACAGGCCCGCCTGCATAGTACGGCTTTTGAAGCGTCGCGTGGGCGAAACATTGGGAGGGCCCCCGTTCGGGTGGGTGGCCAACGGACTTCATGGCGTGTAGACGTGATTCAAGTCGTGTCGGGGAAGGAGCCTTCGGTCACGTAGCAGGTGTCGGTCCACGGCCGAACGCCCAGTGAGGTGCAGACATTCAGGGCAAGGTGACAGTTTGAAGCGTGGATCCGACCATTTGGCGAGAGTAGCGCCGATAAACCAGTGCAGGGTTTCGTCACCTCCGCTCACCGCTCGTACCATACACCCCTGAAGTACCGACGCAGGGGCATGTTTGCACCAGCGCGTGACAGCGCAGGACACACCTGAGCCATTTAAGCAGCTTTCGCCGCCCTGATTGCCGTCGCCTCCAGCCACGCCCGTCGGCTCGGCTCGTTAATGATGCGGTGCCGGCACTCCGTTTCGCCACTGGACACCCACCTGCACGGGCGTACAGCTGAAGTCCGACTCGGCGTAGGTGTGCGCCATGAGGAACATGTCGTCCACGCCCAGACCCAGCGCCAGGAACGGGATGATCTGAAAGTAGGGCGGGCCACGGGTCACACGAGGGTCGGGTCGGTCAGGTGGTCAGTACGCGCAGGCTCTCTTTGTTGCATGCACGGGAAGCGGCGGCAGGTGGCGACCGCACCGGTGGCCGCTTCTGTGGAATGAGCGATGGCGTCTGCTGGGACGCACCGTAACGATAGCGTCTCTTCCTGGAGCGCTGACAAGTGAGACAGCCAGCGACGGGAACTGAACGGAGGAGTCAGTCGTCGTGCTCCTGGCTCATCGCTGCGGTGCCGGGACCTCGCTGAGATCCGATACACGCAAGACGCACTAATCCGCTGCCAGCGCAGTCAGATCCGCCGCCATTCTAGCCGGATCCGGTCAAGGACCGCTCCAGATCCGGCCGGCTTTGGTCGGGAGTCGCTCCAGATCCGACCGCGCCGGCCGGGAGCCGCTCCAGATCCGGTCGGCCCCGGCCGGTAGCCGCTCCAGATCCGACCGCCCCGGCCGGGAGCCGCTCCAGATCCCGCCGGCGCCGGGTGGCACCCCCGCGACGGCGGCGGCGCGGCTCGTAGCGCTGCGGGCCGATGGTATCGCTGGGCCGCGCGCTGCGAGTGGGGCGTGCCGATCCGCAGGAGACAACGCCGGCTTTACGAGCGGCCGCCGCCGATAAACAGGCCGGCGGCGGCCGGGCCGGGCCCGGCACGGCGCCGCCGTACCCTGGCGTGGCGGCAGCCGTGCCGGTCGGCGCACGGCCTCGGGGGACCCTCACCCAGCTGAGTATGATCGTGCTTTGATTCCGGAGGATGCCACCGAGTCGATCAATGCAGGTCAGTTTTGAGGTATCCTGAACGCATGCTTACGAAGATGACTTCGTAAGGCGTACAAACGTTGTTAAGTGATGTAGAGCTACAGGAGCTACAAGCATTTGTTATGGAAATGTTAAGCGTTTGTCCAAATTGGTGTTAATTCTCTGTACACTGAAAATTAAAATCATATTTTCTTTTTAATTATTTCGTCTCATCCGGCCGAAGCCAAACCATTGCACGGGTTCTCAGCTCCGAGGCTAACTCCTTTAGTCACACCGCCGGCTCGGTTCTCACACAAACAAGACCTCCCTGGACGTGACCGAGCGCCTGCAGGCTGGGGCCGCTCCGAGCCGGCGCATCTGCGCCGCGGGGAGGCGTGGCTCGCGCCGGCGCGAACTCACCTGGGTGGTGGAGGCGTTGAGGGGTATGCCGGCGAGACCGCAGAGGCCGAGTCCCGCCGTCACCGACAGGGTGACCAGGAGGACGCCGGCGGCGCCCAGGCCGCCCTGCGAGCGCACTGGGTCCGACCAGCGCACCAGCGAGAAGAAGCCGTACACCAGCTGCGGCAGGGGCGGCAGCATCAGTCGGCTGGCACAGCGCATCAGCCACCTGACCTCGGCCGGCGTCGGCAGCGGACACTGGCCGGTGCTGTGACGGCGCATGTGGAGATGATGACCAGCGGGAAGTGGCGCAGGCGTGTATGTGCGAGGCGGTGGGGAGGATGGCAGAAACGTCGTGCAACAGACTGACGTAGTGTTACTGAAGTGGTGTAGTCAGTACCGGCTTCGATTGATGAATATGGCCGACGTATTCCGACCGCGGGACACGCGGTCCTGAGGATATGTGGCCGTACCTGTTTAAGGTAGGTCTGTTTGATGTTGTGATTCTTCAGATACCACGATGTTTATTTGCAGCACATAGTGAATAATGCATCGCGCCTGTCCGCCAGCTGCGCTCCTCAACAAACAGGGTCATTACATTGGCTGGTTCTAAAACGGGCAACTGCTTATGATGCAAGCTCAAGGCTACAAGACGCCTAAACACACTTCCTCCCATCAACGAAAAGCCCCAAACAAATGGGTAACTGTCTCGCAGTCTGCATGTTAACTCGTTCAAATCTTCAAGCAGCCTGAGCCGACGTGGCTTCTAGGAGTCACGCGTCTGCCGTTTTGAGCCCTTCGGCGTGACGTGAGGTGCACGGGGACAGGCCCGGGCGGACGGGCGGGGCTGGTCGCCACTCACCATGAGGCCGTACCGCCGTTTTGAGCCCTTCGGCGTGACGTGAGGTGCACGGGGACAGGCCCGGGCGGACGGGTGGGGCTGGTCGCCACTCACCATGAGGCCGCACCGCCGTTTTGAGCCCTTCGGCGTGACGTGAGGTGCACGGGGACAGGCCCGGGCGGACGGGTGGGGCTGGTCGCCACTCACCATGAGGCCGCACCGCCGTTTTGAGCCCTTCGGCGTGACGTGAGGTGCACGGGGACAGGCCCGGGCGGACGGGTGGGGGTGGTCGTCACCGTACCGCATGAGACCGTAACGCCGTTTTGAGCCCTTCGGCGTGACGTGAGGTGCTCGGGGACAGGCCCGGGCGGACGGGCGGGGCTGGTCGCCACTCACCATGAGGCCGTACCGCCGTTTTGAGCCCTTCGGCGTGACGTGAGGTGCACGGGGACAGGCCCGGGCGGACGGGCGGGGCTGGTCGCCACTCACCATGAGGCCATACCGCCGTTTTGAGCCCTTCGGCGTGCAGTGAGGTGCACGGGGACAGGCCCGGGCGGACGGGTGGGGCTGGTCGCCACTCACCATGAGGCCGTACCCGACGCCGACCCGCGTCAGGTCCAGGTCGGCGAAGCGACGCAGCACGCGGTTCAGCGACGCCATAGAGAACGAGTGGATGCTGAAGGCGCGCGTCCGGTTGTGTTGTTCCGTGTGTTCCTTGATTTTCTGGAAGGCAGAGCGAGTGATAAAAAAGAAATCGTCTTGGTCCCCGCCTTTGAGCTTACAGAGGATGCTGCAGAAGCTCGATTAGTTTTGTTTGATCTTCTGCTGACGGTTTGAGACGGAAAATCTGACACACTTCTACCATATTAAAGCCGATGAACAGCTGTCTGCCTCGGGAGAAACCCCATCAGCGGGCGGTCCGACGTACCGGCCGCGACTTCCGGGAACGGCGGTCGCCAACCGCCCCGCCCACCTACTCCCGAGGCCGACAGGACACGCGCGATAAGCCACCTGAGCCAGCGAGCCGCCGCCAGGTACGGCCCTTACTCACGGGCTCGTAAGGGGCTTAGGCGGTGATAAGGGTCGGCGCCCATGAACCATGGGGCGGGGGTGCTTAACGAAGGTCGGCGGCCGGCTAATCCCTTGGCTTTAGGGAGGGGGCGCGGTCACGGGTCATGGATACACGTCGGGCTCAGCCCCTGGATATGTTACGCCTAGCCTTCCACGGCGAGACCGGCGCGGGAACGGTCTCCACGGCCCGCCCCCGGTCGACTTGATACGGTGGCCGGCTTCCCACACACAATGGCTTAATTAGGTGGTGCGGACACGACGTCTACTGACGTATGCCCGGCATCCGGTGGCGGCGGCAGCGACAGGCCGACCACCCAGGCGGCGGCGGCGCGGCGGAGCTCACCGACCCGCACATCAAGCCGTCCCGCAGCCTCGTCTCTCAGCGGGGTCCGTCTCTGAGAGGCGGGGGCGCTGCACATGCTCGCGTGAAGCTGCGAGGGGTCGCTGAGCCG